GATGCTAGAGGGCATCTCTCCCAGGTGACCCTTTTCTGTCCCAGCAGGGTAAGGCAAGTTCCAGGAGGGGTTTCTACACCTCTCTTGGGTCCCCACGACGAGCACCAGTGTCTGTCTCAGGAAGACACTGGCAGGTCACAGGAAGCCGGGCTAGTGCTCAGGATGGGGGGCAGGTACTCCCCACCTCCCTACCTCCCACACTGCTCCTCTTCTCTCCTTCCCTTTATTACCATTTTGTACTTGATGCCTTCTCCATGAGCAGTGGCTCAATTAGAAGGAGGGAGCCAGGAAGCTGGTAGGAAACCTTCCCTAGAGAGATAGCTTTAGGAGCTTTAAAGACAGTATGATCATAGAGCAAGGTTGCACCTCTGTATGTTGGGGGATGATGATGTCCATTGCTGTGTGATGGCTTGAAATTTAATTTATTTAATTAAAGTCAAATTGGAGTTTATAAACGAGAACTGCTGGTTATCCTTTGAAAAGCAAACAGGCAGCGAGGCTGTAATATTGATAGAGGAGGGTCAGTGGCACTGACTGAAGTAGTGAGGAAGGACAGAAGGCAAAGAGACATGCAGAGAGGTTTGGGTAACAACACTCCGGGAAATAAAGTTGCTGAAAGAAAAGCTAAGCATTGCTGTTGGTGGTGCACTCCTTTAATCCCAGCACCTGGGAGGCAGAGGCAGAGGCAGGCGGATCTCTGTGAGTTTGAGATCAGCCTGGTCTACAGAGCAAGTTCCAGGACAGCTATAACTATTATACAAAGAAACCCTGTCTGGAAAAACCAAAAAGGCGGTGGCGGGATATGGGCTGGGGACATAGCTCAAAGGTAGAGGACTATCCTAGTATACCCAAGGCCCTGGGTTTTGTTTAATCATTTAAAAAAGTGGGTAGAGCCAGGTGAGGTGGCATAAACCTTTAATCCCAGTACCTGGGAGTCAGAAGCAGGAGAATGTCTGAGTTTCAGGCCAACCAGCGCTATATATAGTGAGACCTGCCCCCCCCAAAAAAAGTCTTAAAGTCCTATTTCTAACATGGGGAAAGTATTAGGTATCTATAGATATGTCCCTGTTTCCTGTCCTTTGGGATGTCACAAATGACTTCTTGAATCAGGTAAGCTGCTATAGAAGGTTGTGCAGAATGCAGGACCAAGAGGCAGGAAACTAGGCCTGTCGCAAACATTTCTTATCTGGTTCAAGCTACTTCTCCTTTCTGGACCCCAATTTCTTCATTTCTATAATGAGAATGGCTTTGGCTAATCAAGTCACTTCTGACATTGCTGTATAACTAACTCTGGACTGGGTTTGTGAATAGACAGCATGGACTCCCCCCACCCCACTCCATACAGGGTTTTGCTATGTGCCTTATACTAGCCTTAGAGTTTCCCAGTGCTAAGAATACAAGTATGTGCCATCATACTTGTCTGTAACTTGTTTTGAGGCAGGGTTTCTCTGTGTAGTCCTGGCTGTCTTGGAACTTACTTTCTAAACCAGGCTGGCTTCGAGCTGACAGATATCCATCTGCCTCTGCCTCTCAAGTACTGGGACTAAAGGTGTGCACCTCCACCAACTAGCACACATAAACTTTTCCACTTAATTGTGTCCCAAATCCCTTTTTACCTTTTAGAGATAGGGTCTAAATTACCCAGACTGGCCTTGGACTCTGTGGCTCAGACTGACCCCTTTCCTCTCTAGTGCTAGGATTTAAGATAAATTCTCAGGTCTGACCCAATCCATAGCTTTTAATGAATGTAAATGATGATGGGTGGGTGGAGTTTTAGAAAACAGATTTCAGAAAATGTCTAGATAATCCAGCCAAAATTGTGGTTTCTTCTCAATAAAAGATGAAAGTTGCCAGATGGTGGTGGGCACACCTTTAGTCCCAGCATCCCAGCACATGGGAGGCAGGAGGCAAGCAGATTTCTGAATTTGAGGTCAGCTTGGTTCCCAGAGTGAGTTCCAGGACAGCCAGGGCTACACAGAGAAACCTTGTCTCAAAAAAAGGGGGGTAGAGTAGGAGAGGGGCTGCAGAAATGGTTCAGAGGTTAAGAGCACTGACTGCTCTTCCAGAGGGCCTGAGTTCCAACAACCACATGGTGGCTCACAACCATCTGTAATGAAATCTGGTGCCCTCTTCTGGTCTCTGGCCTGGAGGCACACATGCAGGCAGAATACTGTGTACATAATAAATAAATCTTTAAAAAGGGGGTAGGGGATAAAAAAGGATAAGTTCTGTGTTTTAATTTAGGTAGGTGGATCGCTGAGTTCAAGGTAAACCTGGTCTACAGAGTGAGTTCCAGGGCTATACAGGAATCCTGTTTAAAAAAAAAAAAAAAGATAAAAGATAAAAGTAAACTGTAAGCTATACTAGGCAGCAAGCCTTTAAATCTGGATGCTATTTATTTATGTTTTTGTTGAGACAGGGTCTCACTGTGTTTACCTCTCTGGCCCCCAACTCAGATCCAGAGACCTGCTTGCCTCTGTCACCCACCCCCACACCCTAGTGCTAGTATTAAAGGCATAGCTCACCACAGCCTGATAATTAAAATCTGGAAACATAGATCTATAAAAATACTGAGATTTGTGCCCTGAAAACTATTTGAGTTCACATATCTCTATGACAAGTTTTTCTTCATGGAACTACTAAAACAGCTAAGTACCATTTTCAGTGCTATAACTCTAAGATGAGGGCAAGCATTTTATGAAGTAGTGCTAGGATCATGAGTTTCTAAATAAGTAAGGCTGAAAAAAATAACTGGGTGTGGTGACACACACCTTTATTTCTAGAACTCTTAAAACAAGGAGTGGTGGGACTAAAAGAGAAGGTTAAGCCAAAAAGAACACTTGCTCCTTTTACAGAGGACTCAGGCTCAGTTACCAGCACTTACATGCTAGTTTATAACCATTCATAACTCTAGTTCCTGGGGATCTGATGCTCTCTTGTGGTACCAGGTCACACATGATACACATACATTTAGGCAAAACACTTATAAATTTTAATTTTTGAGATGGTACTGAGGAGATTGGCTCTATTTAAGAGCACTGATTCCTTTTGCAGAGGACCCAGGTTTGATTCCCAGTACCCACATGGCAGCTCACAACTATCTGAAACTCCAATTCCAGGAAGGACCTGATGCCCACTTTTGGCCTTTACAAGCTTGGCACATACATGGTGTACATGAATACATATAGGCAAACACTCATAGACATTAAATAAATAAATCTTAGCCAGGTGTGGTGCATTCCTTTAACCTCAGCACTCAGAGGCAGGTGATCTCTGTGAGTTCAAGGTATACATAATGAGTTCCAGGACTGTAGGGCTGTTTAACAGAGACCCTGTCTCAAAAAAAAAAAAAAAAAAAAAAAAAAAAAAAAAGTTTAACTAAAAAACTTTTAAGTGTGTGTGTGTGTGTGTGTGTGTGTGTGTGTGTGTGTGTGAGGGGAGAGGGAGGAGGGAGGGAGGAAGGGAGAGAGAGAGATGGGGCACCACGCCCTGCAGTTTTAAATACCTATTGAGTTTCCCTCTCTGGACTATGTGGCTGTTGACTGGTTTATCAAAGTGAAGAAATAGACACAACTGTTCTTCCTCACTGACTTGTATAAAATGCAGAGTAGTAAACAACACAAGTATAATAGCCATAATAAGGAGATAACCGAATATAAAAACAGAAATATACCATAATAAGGAGAGTCAATTCTTGAAGAAGGAACCATCACCACTGGAAATGCAAGAATGGGTAGGAAGTCAGTTAACATAATTGGAGGGGTAAGGGGAGATTTTCATTCAGAGAAAAACAAGTGCAAATCCTCAGAAGTAAAAGCTGCCCTGGGGTAGGGAAACAAATTTGTGGCTGAGGTGCAGAAATGATGTAGAAGACTCAAGATAGGATTTGTTGTGGGCAGGTCCCAGATGTTGGAGTTTGGTTTGGAAAATTTGTACTGAAGGTAATAGAATGCCTTTGAATATTTTCACAGGGTAGTGACTTGATCACATCTGGTTTAGTTAAAGACCACTTTGCTGAGCTCTGTGAAGGATACCTTATAGGGAAGAGCAGTGGGATGTTTAAGTGAGTGTGGAAATCTGAAATGAGTGTCGTTCATGGTCTAGAATGAGAATGAAGATAAATGAATGAGTGACCATATGTTTAAGAATCCAGGGCTGGGTGTGCGGCTGTTGGTAGAGCACTTGTCTAGCAAGCAGAAGTCCTTGATTGAATCCCCCAGCAGCACATAAACGTGGTGAAGTGGCAAAATTTATTATCTCAGCATTTGGTGGTAGAGCAGACGGATCCAAAGATTAAGGTCACTGGGCAAAAGTGTTGGCCTATGCCTTCAATACCCATGCTTGAACTGCAAATACAGGAAGATCTCTTTGAGTTCAAGGTCCGCCTTGGGTACACAAAACAGGGAAGACCAAGAAGATCCGAGATAAACCTAGGGCTCCAATGTAGATTTACTACCCAGCCAGCTGACTAAATACAGAAACAGTAAGGTGGAAGGCATCGCAGACAAATATGGGCGCAGGCCCAGTACGTGGTTGACACGGAGTCTGCGCAGTAGCGGCCATTCAAGTTTCACAAATTCCCGCCTGCACACAGCCTAGACAGGCCCCCCACCCCCACCCCCTTTGCGGGCGACGCTAAGTTTTTCCACGTCCGGTCGTCCCTCACTCTACCCCTAGTGACACAGAGCCCGGTCCCCTACGGTTCCCGCCTCTTCCGTGTTTTGGTGCGCACGGGTTCCGTCCGGCGCAGCGGCCATTGGCTGTCGGCCGACACGAAAGCGGCGATTGGCTGTCGCTGGCCGTCTCTCAAACGCCTCCGGCTATGTGGTGTGAGGTGGGTGGGGCGCAGGGCAGCCCGGTGGCGCTGGCAGGTGAGTGCCGTCTCGCAGCTCTGGTAGCTTGGCGGTTAGGGATACTCTGGAGTCTGCGGAAGGCCAGGCGTCCTGGAGCGGCTTGGCGAGGCCTCCGAGCCGGCGCTCGGCATCCGAGCTCTCTGCCTAGGGGTCGCTGCGGTTGGACCCGGTTAGCGTCACGCTTGACGCCGGGGATTCCGGGAAGCCCTCCCGCCTTGGCGCTCCGGGACGGTCACCTTTCTCCTCGGAGTTCTAGCCATCTTCTGAAGCTTGGCCCCGACCTCACCGCCTAGGTGAGCCTTCCCCGGGGGCCTGCCTACGGTCCGTTTTGTGTCCTGGTCGCCCTCGTCGCGCACTTTGTTTTGGTTACTGTGTTCAGCCGTCAGAACCTCGTCTGTGAGTCCTTGCTTAGAACCTGGGCCTTTTTCTGGATTACGGCTCAGAGTTCATTGGTGCCGAGCGATACTATGTACTCTCTTGTTGAGGGACGGTTTCTTACTGTGACTGCTGATGAAATGATAGAAACGTTAGCTAGGGATCCTGCGGGTCGGGTACCAACCCTCACCCCCTCAATCAGCTCAGAAACAAGGATACGTGTAACCAACCCTTATTGATCCCTAGAAGTGTGTTAGCCCCACATGGGTTAAGTAATTTATGATCGCAAAACCAAGGAGTTTGGTTCCCTTTTCCTTCTCCATCCATTTGTCTGATCCTTTTACCACATAGACATACCCGTATACATAATGTGTAGTACCTGGTCTTTCTTTTTTGAGACAGTCTTTGTAGCTCTGGCTGGCCTGAAAGTCTGAAGAGATACCGCCTCAAAAACCAGCACCACCATTCCAAACTCCACCACCCTCTTTAAAGAAAACTTGTTTTCTCTGTGTAGATTTGGCTGGCCTGGAACCTTTGTAGACCAGGTTAGACTCAAACTCAACAGAGATCTGCCTGCCTCTGCCTTCTGAGTGCTGAGATTAAAGGCATAGACCACCACCACCTGGCTCACTGAGCCTTAACATCCCTACTAGAAATTTTTCATGGACCTTTAACTTTGTTCTCTTTAACAAATGTTTACTATATCCTTTTTAAAATTATTTATTTAACCTTTATTTTATGTGCATTGGGGTGAAGATATCCGATCTCCTGGAACTAGAGTTACAGACAGTTGTAAGCTGCCTTATGGGTGCTGGGAATTGAACCCTGGTCTTCTGGAAGAACAGTGCTCTTAACCGCTGAGCCATCACTCCAGTCCTTATTTATTATATTCTTAAGAATACTTAGCAAAGGTAGACACTGAAGATAGAGCATAATCAGATAGGGCTCCTACATTCCAATGGAATCTTCATTTTAACATTAAAGGAGTTGTAGGATCAGGCATTGGGTCTGGTGGTGGTGGCGCATGCCTTTAGTCCCAGGACTTGGGAAGCAGAGGCAGGTGGATTTCTGTGAGTTAAAGACCTGCTTGGTCTATAAGAGCTAGTTCCAAAACAGCCTCCAAAGCCACACAGAAACCAAAAAAAAAAAAAAAACCAGACTATAGGTCATTGAAAGTCAGGCAAGAGATTTAATGACATAATCCAGTAAGTCTAGAAAGCTTCTGGGTTATCTGTAGGCTGTATGAACTTTGGGCTCATCCTAACCTGTCCTACCATCATTAGGTGGCCTTGGATAAATTAGTTCATCTTTGTCAGCTTCAGGTTATCCATAAATGAGGTTTAAAATAGTGCCTTCCTCATAGGGTAGTGTCACCAATTACATGATGCAAATAAAATGCTTAATGAGACTGGAGAGGTAGTTAGTAAAGTGCTTGCTTCACAAATGTCAGGAGGCCCTGGGTTTGATCTCCAGAGCTCACATTAAAAGAAAAAAAAAAAAAGTTAAGTAGCTGACAGTGGTAGCACAGGCATTTAGGTCCAGTATTTGAGAGACAGGCAGGCAGATCAGGGCCAGCCTACATAGTGAGTTTCAAGACAGCCAGAGGTACAAGATAGAAACTACATTTTGTAAAAAGGTCAGTGAATGCCTATAATCCTATCTTTGGGAAGTACACTATGTTTGGAGCTCACTGGTCAGCCAGTGTAGCCTACTTGGTGAGCTCCAGGGCTCTAAACCAGTGAGTCATCTCTCTAGCCCTAACAAAATAATATTGTATTTGACATATAGTAAGTATGAACTGAGAACAAAGTTTTGTTACCCCATTTTTGCCAAGGCCTCACAGATTGTAAGGTGGTAGGCCTCCCCTTGAAATTGAGCATGGTTCTATCTCCCACAGGAATATGCTCTGAAGCTATTTGAGAAAATGTCTGTTGAAGTGTTTAGCTTAGTGTTTGTCACATACTCAGTGTAGTGTATTGTCTTTTCTCAGGAAGCCAATCAGCACTGAAGAATCCTTGCTGACTCTCAGCAGGCTGCCTGTCCATTTCTTTGTCCCCAGTAGCACTGGAGTGCAGTCTTACAGCTCTGGATTTCTTCCCCTTCCTCTAAGATAAAGGCCATGTCGCCCCCGGGAAAAGTTCCTCGGAAAGAGAACCTGGGGCTCCAGTGTGAATGGGGGTCCTGCTCCTTTGTGTGTTCAGCCATGGAGGAGTTCTTCGAGCATGTCACTCAGCACCTGCAACAGCATATGCATGGCACCAGGGAAGAGGAGGATGACCCACTTGGTAAGGGAGCAGGGAAGAACTCAAGTGCAGCTGGGGATCCCACTTCTAAAGAGAGGACAGCTGGGGAAACAGTGGTTTATATTCTCAATTATGCCTTCTTCATTCATAAAAGCATTGTGAAGTCATTTCTAGAGAATTCAGTTCACAAGGATGTAAAGAATGATTACCATTAGAAGCCATTTGTATTTTTGTGTGTATATGTGTTTGTGGACACATGCATGCCTTAGATCAAGAGTGGACATCACAGAACAACTTGGAGGAGCCAGTTCTTTTCTTCCACTATTGCCGGTTCATGTCATCAGGCTGGACACTAGCTTCTTGACCTGCTAAAACATCCTTTTGGGGGGGGTGTGAGGGGTGTTTCGTTTATTTTTTAATGTGCGTGTAACTGGTGAGCACACCATGGCATATGTGTAGAGGTCAGAGGACAACTTGTGGGAGTTCATCTTTCTTCCATGTGAGCTCTCAGGGTCAAACTCAGATAGGTTTGGCAGTAAGTGCCTTTACCTGCTGAGCCATCTTGCTGTCCCCTGTCCCCGTTTTTTTGAGACAGGGACTCACTGTATTCTTGGCTGGTGTGAAATTCACTATATAGCGCATGCTTGCCTTGAATTCATAGAGATATTAGTATTGAAGTTGAAGGTGTCTCACTGCTTGCGCCTCCCAAGTACTGGGATTAAAGGTATGTGTCACCATGCCCAGCCTCCCCTGTCTTTCCTTTTGAGACAGGGTTTCTTTGGATAGCCTCAGCTGTGCTGTAACTTGCTCTCTAGACCAGGCTGGCCTCTAACTCATGATCTGCCTGCCTCTGCTTCCCCAGTTCTGGGATTAAAGGCATGGACTACTACCATCTGCCTTTCCCTTTTTGTTAACTTAATTATTTACATTTTTTTGTTAATTTATTTTGTTTTACATGTCTCAATGTTTTGCTTGAATGTGTGTATGTATACCATGAGTATGCCTGGTGCCTGCAGAGGTCAAAAGAGGATGTTGAATTCCCTTGAACTGAAGTTATAGATGGTTATAAGCCGTCATGTGGGAACCAAACCCAGGTCCTCGGCAAGAGCACCAAGTACTCTTAACACTTGAGCCATCTCCTTCCCATTTACTTTTGAGACACATCTCAGTAATCCAGACTAGTTTCATACCCACCAAAGTCCTCCTGCTTTAGCCTCCCAAAGGCTGGGATTACTAGCATGAGCCACCACACAGGCTTGGGAGCACATTTATGTCATAACTGCACATCATAGCTAAGAGAATAATTAAACAGCTTTATTCAGTATACTCAAAAATGTTCCTCTGTTCTATTTACTCTTTTTCCTTTCCTTTGGTAGTCTCATGTAGCCCTGACTGACCTTAAACTTGTTATGTAGCTAAGGCTGAACTTGAAGTCCTGATCCTGCTAAGATTCTGGGATTATTATAGATATATACCAAACCTGTTTCCAAAGTCAGATAATACACAGAAACGAAATTAAGGATGGTTTTACTTTCTGAAGTTTTGGTGTTTCAAAGTAAGCAAGCTCCCATTGAACATTGAGAATGGTGCTTAGAGGTGCTGGAGAGACAGGAAGAGGGTTGAAATAAATAATGGGCCTGTCTTTGAAAAAGCTGATTAGAAGCAAAAAGAAAACTGGAAAACCAGTGTTGGGAGGTCCTCTTTCTCAGGGGCCGTGAGAAACCGAGCACAGATTGTACATTTGCTAAGGGTTACCCTAACTTGTTCTTTCTGCATCTCTGAGTCCCTGGGTCTTATATTTTGCTCTTAACCTCTCTTTTACATTCACTCTTAATGCAGGAACTCTTTCTAATTTCAGTCAACATCGCTACTTCTGTTTAACACTTCATTTGTGACAGGGTCTTACTCTCTAGCCCTGCTTGACCTCAAAATCATGGCAGTTGACCAGTCTAACCTTTTGAGTGCTGGTATTATAGATCAAAGCCAGTGTACCTAGTTCCATAACACTTATCTGCTGCCACATACACTACCCCATATCCCTTGCCACTAGTTGCAGTTTTGTAGATTTGTTTACTTAAAAGGACTGGGACTCCATGATACCTGATTCAGATGAAAGTCATTAAACACTGTTACATACTGAATGGACTGGTAACTTGGTCAGGGTCTTGCTTAATGTCTAAGATGGAAAGTAAACTGAACCTTGGAAAGTATCAGACCATTCCTTCTCAACCCCTTTCTGCAGAGGAAGAATTTCCCTGTTTGTGGCAGGAGTGTGGCTTTTGCTCTCTGGACAGTTCTGCTGACCTCATCCGCCATGTCTATTTCCACTGCTACCACACCAAGCTGAAACAGTGGGGGCTGCAAGCCTTGCAGAGCCAAGCTGACCTCAGTCCCTGCATCCTGGACTTCCAGAGCCGGAACGTCATTCCTGACATCCCCGACCATTTCCTGTGTCTGTGGGAACATTGTGAGGTCAGCTGACAGTGCCAGAAAAAGGGGTGGAAGGAAGCTGGGGATCTGGAGTCAAGATCTTTCTGGGTTACCTTATGTTTCTCAGACTCCTTGTTTACCCCCTCTACTCCTGTATTCCTTTATCTTAAAATTCCCATCCCCACAAGTTAATGGGGGAGAATAAGAAGTCCCCTTTGGCATGGGTAAGAGTCCTCCAACAACCGTCAGTCCTCACCCCAAGTTGCCCTGGCACAGAGTACCTTCGACAATCCTGAGTGGTTCTATCGGCACGTGGATGCGCACAGCCTGTGCTGTGAATACCAAGCTGTCAGCAAGGACAACCATGTGGTGCTGTGTGGCTGGAAAGGTAGGGCCACCCGCCTGTTCTGGCCTCTGGAGGTGTTACGGGTCTAGAGGAACTAGGGATGGGACCAGTCCTGCAAGACAAAGCAGGCTACTGGCTGTAGAAACTCAGGGGTAGCAGAGCCAAGTTGGGGAAGGGGATTCAGGGATGGAATGTGATCAAATCTTTCTTCCCAGGCTGTACCTGTACCTTCAAGGACCGGTGTAAGCTTCGAGAACACCTCCGCAGCCACACCCAGGAGAAGGTAGTGGCCTGTCCCACTTGTGGGGGCATGTTTGCCAACAACACCAAGTTCTTAGATCACATCCGTCGCCAGACCTCACTGGATCGTAAGCATTTGGAGAGAAGAGGGAGAGTGTGGGCTATCCTATTTAAAGTGAAGATGAGAATGTATTCCCAGGGGAGGTGGCTGCTGAAGAGATCTGTACCCTGGCTCTCTTCTCCTTTTGGGATCAGGCATTCCTAGACTTCTTTTAGACATTGTTTAGCACTTGCTGTTTGTGGTATCAGTTATCTCAGGAATCTTCACAGCAGCCCCATGAGGTAGGCTTCTTATTCCCCTTTTTACAGATGAGGAAACTGAGGCTCAGAGAGGTTAAATCACTTACCTGAGATCATACAGCTAGTAAGTGGTAAAGCTGGGCTTCTAACTCAGGTCTGGACTCCAAATCCTGTCCGTAGCTTCCCTTTGTTCCTTGGGTGGCTCCCTTCTGTCTGGGATGGTTCCCCTGTCCTCTGCCCTTCGATGTTCTCTCCATTCACCCTTTGTTCTGCCCACGTCACCCCAGAGCAGCGTTTCCAGTGCTCTCACTGTTCTAAGAGATTTGCCACAGAGAGGCTGCTGCGTGACCACATGCGGAATCATGGTGAGTGGCCTGCACCCAAGCCTCCCTGCCCTCCTTTCGAGGTCCTGTGAGTCCACAGATTATAGCTTCTTCTCTGTTCCGCAGTGAATCACTATAAATGCCCTTTGTGTGACATGACTTGCCCACTGCCTTCCTCCCTCCGGAATCACATGCGATTTCGACACAGTGATGACCGGCCCTTTAAATGTGACTGTTGTGACTACAGGTAAGGGAACCCAGGGTTCAAAATACAGGGCTCATCAAGTTTCAGGGTTCCCTGTGCTCTTCAGCCCCTCCTAATGTCTCCTGGCAGTTGCAAGAATCTGATTGACCTCCGGAAGCACCTGGACACCCACAGCAAGGAGTCAGCCTACAGGTGTGATTTCGAGAACTGCAGCTTCAGAGCTCGGTCTCTCAGCTCTGTCAAGTCCCATCACCGTAAAGTGCATGAAGTAAGTGCTGATGGGCAGGGCTCCCAGGAGTGTGAGTGAAGAGCTGACCTCATTTCCTTCTCCATTCCTCATCAGGGAGACTCAGAGCCAAGGTACAAATGTCATGTCTGTGACAAATGCTTCACACGTGGCAACAACCTCACTGTGCACCTTCGCAAGAAGCACCAGTTCAAGTGGCCATCAGGACACCCTCGTTTTCGGTATATATAAATCTTTCCCCATGGGCTTATATACTTCCCTTGTGTTTGTTTACTACTGTGTGCATATGGGGTGGTGGTGCCGACAGTCCTATATAGGTTGGGACACAACTTGTGGAGTTGTTTCTCCTCTGTCGTGTGGATTCCAGATATTGAACTCAGGTCATCAGGCATGCATGACAAGCATTTTACACTCTAAGCCATATGACAGACTTTTTAACAAGGAAAAAAAAAAACTTTGAATTTTATGGTACTTTCATGCCACCATCTATGTACAAACTTAAAAATAGTGGTAAAGCAAAGGTTGTTTAGTGTTTTATTAGTTTTTGTTCTTGTAGACCAGGATGGCCTTGAATTCACTGAGATCTGCCTACCTCTGTCTCTTTGGTTCTGGAATTAAAGGTGTGTGCTACCATGCCTGTCTCTTGTTTGTTTTTGAGACAGGATCTCTGTATAGTCCTGGCTGGCCTAAAGCTTGCTATGGAGATCAAGCTGGCCTTGTACTCATAGAAATCCTCCTATTTCTGCCTCCAGTGAGATTACAGGTGTGTGCCCCCCTGCAAGGCTGTGATTTTTTTTTTTTTTTTTTTTAAATGAAGCTCGGCTTCAGATTCAACAAGTAATGCCAAAAGTCCAGCAGCCAGAGCAAGAAGTAAAGGTGAAGGGTCCTGCCTTTCAGCTCCATGGCCTTTTCATAAACGTTGACACTCCGGCCTCTTACAGAGCCAACATCAGTCTCTGCTGGGTTGGGCTTCTTCATTCATTTTTCAGTTTTGAGTCCTCAGTCCTGAGGTGGGTGGTGGCACACACCTTTAATCCCAGCACTCGGGAGGCAGGGGAAGGTGAGTTCAAGGCCAGCCTGGCCTACAAAGTGAGTTCCAGGACAGCCAGGGCTTTTATACAGAGAAACCCTGTCTCAAAAAACAAACAAACAACAACCACCACCACCCCCCCCCAAAAAAAAAAAAAAAAAAAAGGAAAGAGAAAGCTACTGTCCTGTCACAGTCCTAAGTTGTCTTCCAGCTAGAAAATGTGTATCTTCACCCTCTGTATCCAGGCCATTTCTTCATCCTCTACTGGTTTGCTGCCTTCTCCAGGTACAAGGAGCATGAAGATGGCTACATGCGACTGCAGCTGGTTCGCTATGAGAGTGTGGAGCTGACACAGCAGCTACTACAGCAGCTACAAGAAGGATCAGATCCAGGAGCGGCACTGAGTGAAAGCAGCCTGCAGGGCATCGTTCTAGAAACAGTGCTGGGGGGGGCAGGACCTGAGGAAGAGGTGGAAGAGGAAGATAGGGTTGAGGGAACAGCCACCTCAGCTTCTCAGGACAACCCCAGTTCTGCCATCCATATGGTCAACCAGACAGTCAGCCAAGGCCAGCGAGAAATGGTCTACTATGTGCTATCTGAAGCCCCAGGAGAGCCCCCACCAGTCTCTGAACTATCCTCGAGAGAGATGGAAAAGCTTCAAGGAATGCCTGAGAAGCCAGAGGCCCGGATGGTATGAGGCTGCAAAGCTGACCACTCCTCCAGATCTTATAGTTTGAGCCAGACAGGTAGGGGTGCCCCTGGTGGGCAGCCTTTGTTTTTGGATGCCTTTAGAAGCGGTGCTGAGAACAGTATGTTCCCCTCTGACTCAGGTGGCATCAGTCTATAGACTCTGAGTACCCCCTCCCCCCAGTACTGTTCTTTGTGGGGAACCTGAGGAGTTGGATTCATTGAAGAAATCCTACATGAATGTTCTCAATAGAGGAGCTGTTACCAAGTTTAAGTATACTCCCTTGGCATGCTAGACTGAGTAAATGTGTAGTCTATACCCATTCCTGTTTTTAGGGGTCCAATGGCCCAGGGATGATTGGCTGTTCCTTATGAGAGCTGTCTCCTCTCTATAAGTATTGAGAACCAGGTGCCATTTCTCTCAAGGTTTCCTTTTACATTCCAGGAACACTTGTGGTTATCTTCAGGGATAGGATTGGAGACACTGTGTATGTATGACAGTTTTTTTTTTTTTGTTTTTTCTTTTTTTTTGGTAATAAAAGACTACGACTACTTGGGCTCTTATTTCTCAAGTTTGGTGGCAATTTAACTAGGTAACAGAGATATAACTGTCTAGAAGTAGAGCTGAATCATTAGGCTTACCCCTTTAGTGACCAGGGTGGTTTAGCTGTCATGTACACATTTACTGGAGTAAATCCATTGCTTCTTGAGCATCTACCAGCTTTGTGGAAAGAGGCCCCAAGTACTTGTCTATGAGTGACTATGAGCAGTGTTACAGAATGGATATGAACAACACCAGGACCGCATCATCAGCCCTAATTAGAACTCTGTACCTCTAGGGCAGGTTGGGGTTCTGGGACTGCAAAGGAATCTGATGGAGAGGTGGGTTGGGTGGTGATCCAGAGAATGCCAAGTTCTCAAGGGCCAGGAGTCAAGCTAGAAAATTGTGTCTATACATTTTCCTAGAGAGTAGATCTATTTTCATTGGATAAAAAAAAATTCTTATGTATTTATACATGTATGTTCATTTATTTTATGTGTATGAGTATTTTGTCTACACAAATGTAAGTGTACCATAGTCTTGCCCATGAAGTTACAGACAGCCATGAACTACCATGTAGGCACTAGGAACCGAATCCGAGTTTTTGCAAGAGCAATAAAGTTGAAACTACTCAAAATAACTTTTTTTTTTTTAGGTTAAACTTAGCTGGGCATGATGGCACATCCTTTAATCCTTGCACTCAGAAGGCAGTTGGAGGAGGATCTCTGAGTTCAAGGCCAGCTTGGTCTACAGAGTGAGTTCAGGATAGCCAGGGCTACACAGAGAAACCATGTCTTAAACAAACAAAAAATTGTGTAGTGTATATGTGAGCATGTGCATGGAGGTCAGAGATCAGTGTTGGCTGATGCTCACTTTAGTTTTTGAAAGTTTCACTGAACCCCAAACTCACCTATTAGACTGGTTGTCCGGTGAACTCTGGGGATTTGAATGTCTCTGCCTCTGCTCTGGTACTAGGTTACTGACATGCCATCCTGTTTATGGCTTTTACATGAATGCTGGGGATCTGGACTCAGATCCTCAGAGAGGGCAAGCACTTACTGACTGAACCATCCCCCTAACCCCGTCCAGCCATCCCTCAGAAATATTTCCCTTTTGTTGACTACCAGCTTGGATAAAGGAAATACTCTGTGCTACAATTCATGGAAGGACCATGCTCTTCATTTTTTCTCAGTCCTGAGCACTTTATTCATTTATTACTATTGAAGTGCTCTTCTGCGTCTGTCCTGTAGAGAAAGAGCTGAGCACTAGCAAGCATTCGTTCTTTGCTCCTGACTGGATGTGTACAAGTTCCTGCTACCCCAGTTTCCTAAAATGCTTGGAATGTAACTTTGAATTACGAGACAAATAAACCCTTTGTTGTCTTAGGTGCTTTCCTTTTGGGAGCAGGGGTTAGAGACGTTTCTCTGTGGTTTTGGAGCCTGTCCTGACATTTCTTCAGTAGACCAGGCTGGCCTTGAACTCACAGAGATCCACCTGTCTCTGGGATTAAAGGCTTGTGCTTTTTGTTTGTTTGTTTTTGAGACAAGGTTCCTATTTGTTTTTGAGACAAGGTTTCTCTGGGTAACAGCCCTAGCTATCCTGGAACTCACTATGTAGACCAGGCTGGCCTTGAATTTACAGAGATCTACCTGCTTCTGCCTCCCAAGTGCTGGGATTAAAGGCATGTACTACCACCACCTGGCCCCTGAGGAGCTTTTTTTAGAAGGATATTTTGTCACAACAATAGAAAACAAAACTAACACACACACACACACTATATATATATATATATATATATGTATGTATGTATGTATGTATGTATATATATATATATATATATATATATATAGAGAGAGAGAGAGAGAGAGAGAGAGAGAGAGAGAGAGAGAGAGAGGGCTCAGTGGTAAAGCACACTTGCTGTTCTTCCTGAGGATTCGGGTTCAAGTCTGAGCACCCACCCATCTTAAAACTCCAATTCCAGGAGATCTGTCTGATACTCTCTTCTGGCCTCTGTGATCACCAAACATGCATATGGTGCACAGATATGCATGCAGACAAAATGCCCATACACATAAAAATTGGAGTTGGAGAGATGGCTCAGAGGTTTAAGAGCATTGGCTGCTCTTCTGAAGGTCCTGAGTTAATTCCCAGTAACTACATGGTGGCTCACAACCATATGTAATGAGGTCTGGCGCCTTCTTCTGGCCTGCAGGCATATATGCAGGCAGGATACTATATAATAAATAAAAATCTCTAAGACTACATCCTGCAGCCTTAGAGAACCCCTCATTTCTTTCCTATCCAAGGAAATAGTATATAACAGGAGAGTAAGAAATGCTGCTCCAGGGCATGAATGTAGAATTGTAGAATACTCATTTAAGCACTTCAGTTCAATTTCTATGTTGCAGCCAGGCATGGTATCACACACCTTTAATCCCAACACTCCCGAGGCAGAGGCAGGTGGATCTCTTGAGTTCAAGGCCCTTCTGATCTATAAAATGAGTTCCAGAATAGTCAGGGCTGTTAAATAAAAACCCTGTCTCCAAAACCAAAATGTTGTATGTTAGTTCCTGTTGCTATGATAAGCAAGTAAAAAACCTACAAGGTATACATGGCAGAAAAGGTTTATTTTTGCTCATTTTTAGAGGTTTCGGGCCATGTCTGCCACCTGAATTGTTTTCTGGGCCTGTGGTGAGACATGCATCATAAGAATAGTGAAGGGGAATGGCTCATCTGTGCTGGCAGGGGGAGCTGGACAGGGACAAGTAACTCCAAAAGGAAGACCTTATCTCTGAAGACCATCATGCCAGGGTCCAAGAAAGGTAGTAGTAGGCACCCTCCATGGCCACCACTTCCTTGACTGTTAGGGAGACACTGCTGTGGGAGGGAGGAAGCTCTCTCCTTTTTAGCCCCTCCCTTTCTGTTCTGAGCAGCACCTCCCCAAGTGGCCAGCAGAGGGTCCTCTCCCTGACAAACACATTTAAAAGTCCTGGGCTAAGCCAGTTGGTGGGCAAGAGGTCAAGGTGGACAAAAATCTGGGTGCTGGGAACAACTGGACCAGTTCCCAAGTGTGCAGGCTTTTCTGGGTCCCACTAGAGTCCACCACACTCCTTTCCCTCCATAAAGCTTATCAGCTGCTTCTCACACAAACCCTTGTGCAAGAGTGGCCTGTTACAGATGAATGCCTAGCACTATGCTCAGGTGGGAATTATCAACCCTTCCACGTCTGGCCCTAGGAAACCTGCTCTGGGAGTAAACTGCTTGATTGGGGGTGGAGCACAAAGATAAATCTTAGGGAATAGGCAGATATGTATTTGGGGACATGAGGTGATCCATTCAGATACTATGGAAACTTAGTAGATGACTTTATTCTAAGGATGATGAGGTCCACATTAAGCAAAGACCAGCTCTAGATACTAAATCAGAAACCCTGGGAGTGGAAGCAGCACTGAAGTCAAACCCTCCAGAAGATTTGAGGTGGACACTGAAGTGTCAACCACTGTCACAAGGTCTATCCTAGGAGTATATTTTCTGGGAGGGTCTTCCAAATGGGAAACTGTAAGCCAGCTCCAGTTAAATGCTTTATGTTGTAAGAGTTGCCTTGGTCAGTGTCTCTTCACAGCACTAGAAGAATGACTAAGACATCTTGTAAGATCATCATACATTAATTACATAAATGTTTTGGAATACTGGACTGGTGAGATGGCTCCATGGGTAAAAGTGTTTGTTGTGTATCTGATCTGATCCTTGGAACCCATAGTGGAAAAAAATGACTCCTAAATGTTGTCCTCTGACCACTACATGAGCTCCTTGGCACATGCTTACACTCATACAACAATAATAAACAAAATAAAAATTAAAATATGGCAAATATTATGTGTTCATTATTTTCTAAAGTTTAGTTATTATGTATACAATGTTCTGTCTGCATTTAGGCCATCATGTGGTTGCTGGGAATTGAACTTAGGACCTCTAGAAAAGCAGCCAGTGCTCTTAACCTCTAAGCCATCTCTCCAGCCCTCAGTTAATTAATTTTTTTAAGACATGAAAAAAGAATACTATAGAATTAATAAGAGGGCTGAAGATGGTAGAGTTGAGCTGATAGTGTAATTGCCCAAGAGGCTCCAAGGCCTGGTCTCCATCCTGCTGTAACCCTAACACTTGGGAGGTAGAGGCAAGAAGATCAGGAATTCAAGGCATCTTGGGCTATATAGTGAGTTCAAGACTAACTTGGGCTATGTGGGACCCTGAAGTCCATTTGAGAATAAGATTCTGAGATGACCAATTAACAGAGTAGGTAAAAGCAGGGACTTTGGATTCTAAGCATGTACTTTTGGATTTGCTATGCTTGTCCCTTGGTCATATTGTTTAATCTTTCTGTTTCTCAGTTTCTTTTCTCCAAAGAAAGATTGTAAAACCTGCTCCAAAAGCAGATCCCCTAGAAGTTCCAGGCCAGCCTGGTCTATGTAGCAAGTTCCAGTCTGGCCAAAGCTACATAGAGAGACCCTGTCTCAACAAAACAAAAACCATGCCTCATAGAGATATTAAGATTAACCAAGGACCAGTGGTGGTGGCGAATGCCTTTGATCCAAGCACTTGGGAGGCAGAGGCAGGTAAAACTCTGAGTTTGAGACCAGCCTGGTCTACAAGAGCTAGTTCCACGATAGGCTCCAAAGCTACACAAGGAAACCCTGTCTCAAAAAAAAAATCAAAACAAACAAACAAAAAAATTAACCAAGAAGAATGTCTGGTTAATCGTAGTTGTTCAGTAAATGTAATTGTTAAACCTGGTGACATATGTGTGTAATAACTGCATTCAAGGGGTGGTGGCATAAGGACTGGTCAAAGCCAGCCTTAGCAACAGCCTGAAACCCTATCTCAAACACACACACGTACATAAACACACACACACGTACATACACACACACACACACACACTTGTGAGACCCTATCTCACACAGAGAGACACACACACATTGCAATCATTGGGGAATTGAGTCTGTCATGAGCAATTGGAGATTAATTTGAAGTGTGGAGGGTCTATCTGGAAAATGGAAAGGTTGATCCCAAGCAAAGGCATACATAGGGGATGAAGGGAAGTTAGGAAAGACTGAATTCCAACCCCTCACCCCATGAACCTCTTAGTTACAGGGTGGCGCATGGGCATGCCCTGTAGAGGTCGCTAGTTTTCCAGGCTGCAGAGAGGCTTAGGATGGGGGGGGAGGGGACAGGTGTTTGACTGCTAGTAACCTCCCTGCTGCTTCAGTAGAAGCCTCAGCAGTGGCAGCAGTCTAAGCAGCCTCCCTCCTATGGGTCACTCAATATGACAGGTGGGAACTAAAAAGCTCAAGTCACGTGTCTTGACTGGCTAGCCTACTTACCCCTGGAAGACACAGAGGATAGGACAGGCAGGGGCTAAGGGTAATTGTTTGAGAAAGGGCCAAAATAAGGTGTGTGTGTGTGTGTGTGTGTGTGTGTGTGTGTGTGTGTGTGTGGTGGTGGTGGTGGTGGGGTGTCTGTGTAAGCACTCTCGGAGGACTCAGAGCCCAAGCTTGTATGATGAGAGAAAGAAGGTACATACATGCGCATAAACAGACGTCCAAGGCAGTGTCTGAAGAGCCCTATGCGTGCTCCTAGAGACCTGTATCTGGATGGTAGAATAAAGGTTTTTTACGGTCAAAGTAGGCTGTGACTCGGTCCCAGGGTAACCTTGGAGCTGCCTGCAAGTTTTGTCATAACTACTATTCCCTTCATAACTAGCGTCCTCTTGAGCCCTTAGAATAGGTGTGGAAAAGGCTGTCTCAAAGTCCCAAGAATTATACCCTCAAAATTACACAGTGAAGTCCTTTGTACTTTAGGGCTGGGTGGGGTTGAGCTTCAAAGCTGAACTGGAGGAGATAAGCAATGAGGGGTTTGTGTGTGGAGATAGACTGACAGCTTCCCAACCCACTGGGCACGATGGAACCTGCACCCTATTGCCCAAGGATCTGCCCCTCAAGTCTCCTTCCCTTAGCTACCTCGGGGTTGACCTTATGCCGCTAACTCTCGGTCCTGGGTTCATAAAAGCGCCCCTTCTGGCCCCCACGCTGCAGGCGTTGCTCTTGACACCCCCATCCTTACCACCCGCCGGGTGTGGGGAGGCACGGGCCCTTTAAGAACAGCAGCATTGGCGAGCAGAAGCTTGGAAGAGAACGCTGTCGCCAGACTAGCTCCAGAGGACAAGCGCTTGGGACTAGACTACGAGAACCTGGTGGGTTCATCCAAGTGAAGTCGGGGCCACATCTCAACTATTCCTCTTGCCACTGTGTCATCCTTTCTGACCCGAGCCCGGCCTTTCTCTACTGCCCGCCCCGGCCTGGCCCCGCCCCGGCCCGGCCCGGGCCACCCGGACAGGGAGCCCGGGCACCGGTGCAGCCTCGGAGGCAGGTGAGGAGGGCCGGGAGTGTCCACCTCTCGCGCTGCAGCGCTGAGCATCCGAGTCGAGCATCTCGGTTAAGCATCTCTGCTGTGCATCCTTGCGTCTCGCAGGCCGGAGGCGCGTCAAGGTGACCAGGCGAGTAGGGGACAGAGGGTTGGCGTGGAGGGTCTGGGGTCTGTGGCTGTCTCTGGGGACAGTCCCGGGGCGCATGGCCTCCAGCGCGGGATGGGGAGGCCGGCCGAGGAGTGGCGCCAGTCCGTGCAGAGTTGGGGCTTGGAGCCAAGGCCAGAACCTTCCCGGGCCCACCCTGTGCAGGCAGTCCCACTGCCCCGACCTCCGAGCGAGTGGCCGCCTCGCCCGTCCCCCAGGGACTGCTGGCCTGCGGGGTAAGGAGATTAAGGCCGCAACGGGGAGGGAGGAGCGGGCAAGACAAGGCCAGGCTGGAACTGCCCAGGACCGAGGAGAGGTCGCGACTTAGTGTCACTGCCCTGGGAGTGTGCAAAAGACCCGGCAGGAAGAGAGGTGCTGACATCTGGGGATCTGCCCTAAGAAGGAAGCACGGTTAGGTGGAGTGGAGGCGGGGCAGCATTGGAAAGCTATGGCTCTTGGAGCAAGGGCTAGAGGGTCTGCCCGGAGCTAAGCAGGCCCTCTTCCTGCAGGCCTGCTATATGATGGCGGAGAAGGCACTGGAGGCCGTGGGCTGTGGACTGGGGCCCGGGGCTGCGGCCATGGCTGTGGCTCTGGAGGACGGGGCAGATCCCCCTGTGCTGACCACGCATCTAAAGAAGGTGGAGAACCATATTACAGAAGCACAGCGCTTCTCTCACCTGCCCAAGCGCTCTTCTGTGGACATCGAGTTTGTGGAACTGTCCTACTCCGTGCGGGAGGGGCCCTGCTGGCGAAAACGGGGTACGTGGTAGCCCCGTGGGGATCAAAGGATTCTCCCTGAGTTGCCTCTTCAGTAGCACACAGCCTGGGGGTATCCCACTCTGTGAGCTTTGTAGGCCCTGACCCTCACTCACTGCATGCAGTTGGGGTACAAGATCCTTGCTCCCCACATCTGCAGCACTAGAAAGCTAAGTTCCAATTGGCTACTGAAGTTTTCCCCTCTAAATAGACCTCTCTGGTCCTTGAGTTAGTCTGTCAGTCTCTTTAAGTCTCTCTCTCCTTCCCTCTCTCTCTCTCTCTCTCTCTCTCTCTCTCTCTCTCTCTCTCTCTCTGTGTGTGTGTGTGTGTGTGTGTGTGTGTGTGTGTGTGTGTGTCTTTCCCTCTCTGTATTCGTACCTGTACCTAAGAAGTTTGGTTTGGGGAAGGGGCATGCTTGGTCTGTGGAGGCTCTCTTCAATGTCCAACAGTATCCTTACACCTATTTTTAAGATGGTCTCATTCCTGCCATCTTACTCCATTCACATCTTGCCAAAGTCCCTGAAAGCAGGAAGGGTGGAGGTTAGACAGATGAGATGTTACCGATAAGGGAATGGAGGCTTGGGGATGTTGAATAACCTGACCAGTGTCCCCCTGTTAGTAAGAAGCAGGGCATGGCCCAAAGCCTAGCACCACAGTTCCACCTCTCTCCTCCCCATCAGGACAGGGTTCCCAGAGCCCTGGCCTGTCCTAGCTGGGCTGGGAACCTAGAGTCTGGGTTTGTTTCCCAGAGCTGGGTGTGGGCTAGGGGTGGAGCTGAGACAGTGTAATGGCTTTGGGGTGCTTCAGAACAGGGCTCAGTGTGAGCTGTCTTTACATGTTTGCTCACTTCCATAGGTGACCAAAAGGTCATGGGACCCTGAGGTGTCTGGACTCCCTATTCAATATCCTAGCACTAAGCAGTCTCTTCAGTTCTCAGACCACCCTGGATGAAATGTTATTTCCTTGGCCTTCAGAACTTTATGGTAAAAAGAAATGTGGCTAGATTAGGTACTTCTCCTTATCAGGGTGGTGGGTGCCCCGGCTAGGAACTCCTCCCTTTTGACCTTGCCAGCCTCATCTACCCTCTTTTCCATTTTGCTCTCTCCTAGTGCTGGCCCCCTTTCTGCCCTCTGCCCTCCTTTGCCTGGCTTCTTTGTTCTTTGGCTCCTTCTCCTCTCTAGAGAGGACAGAACACGACTAAGGGTGGCAGAGAGGGGAAGTGTAAGGGATCTGGAGGAGAACCCGGCCTTCCCTGGGTGAGGATCTGTCACCAGTCTCCTCTGACTGTATGTGACATTTATTTTTTCAAACACATTCAATTAATTATTAGTGATCCCACTTAAAAACATAAGAACACCATTAAGTCTTTGGGAGGGAATACCACTGTCTTTTTCTTAATGGTGTTGGGAATGGAAGCCAGGGCTTTCCTTATGCTCGGCGAGCATTGTACCACTGAGCTACATGCCAGCCAACTCTTGTTCTTTTATAGATGAGGAATCGCAAACCCTAATGATTAAGTGACTTGGCAGTCATAATGGCATACACCTATAATCTCAGAACAGTGAAAGTTGAGGCAGGATGGTTGTAAGTTCAAGACTAGCCTGGAGTACATAGGAAGACCTCATCTCCAGAAACCTAAATAAATAAATTAAAAGATTTAATGATTTGAAAAAATTACAGAGCTATTGACTGAAGCAAGACTAAAGCATTGATGTCTCCCCAGTGGGAGGTCTGCAGGTCCCTCATGCGCCAAACAGTAGTGATGAAGGGGAGTTAGGAGACAAATGTTTTCAGCCTAGGGAAAGCTGTGTGGCCTTGGAAGGCCGAGTGTCCTTTCTTGGCCTGAGTTTCCTCATGGGCATCTTGGGGAACTCAGCTGAGTTGGTATCTTGAAAGTGCCTTGTGAAAGGCAAGCGAGTGTAAGATGATATTTGTGCTAGGCCTTGCCTTTGACTGGCATCGGCTCTGGCATCAGACAAGGGGAAGGTCCTTCCTATGAGCGGCTCTGTAGAATGTACACTGGAGAGTGCTGCCAGGGCCTTTCTGATTGACCATGAGGAGAGGCTAGAGGAGGTCTAAGACCCAGCACCTCCCTGCCTACCTGGCTGTGTGGCCTTAGGAGGAACAGCTGAGAGGGAATAGGCTCTGAGCAGGCAGTTGGTGTGGTCCAGTCTGACAGTGGGCATGGTCCTGGGTGGCATGGACAGCTGTTACATGAGCTAAACTTTCCTTGTCTCTGCTGAGGAGTAGGTTGTGGACTAGGTGAGGGATGAAGGCTTGAGTTCTCCTCACCACAGCAGGTCTGCAAGCTTAGCGGGCAAGGCCCTGGCCCTTGGCCTCACCCCACCTCCACCCCACCCCACTCCACCCCATCTCCACCCTGCCTGCTCATCAGCTGCTTCAGTACAGTCTCTGATCCCTGGATTGTGCTACAGTGTGTCTTCTCTCCTAAAGCCTGGGGCTTCTGTTGCTCCTCCTTAGGGTCGGTGCCACCTCTTCCATGAAGTCACCCTTGATTTCTACCCTCTGAGGGTGAATAGCTGTAGCCCCATGCCCGCTGACTGCTCTTCTCTCTTCCATTCACACCAGAGGTGTTTTTCTTTTTTTTTTTTGTCCATTTATCTTACCTAGTCTGTGACTTATTTGAATGCAGAAACCATGGCCTTCCTCATTTTCTTTTTTTGCCTCCTGCTGGTACAGAGCTTAGTACACAGTAGATCTTAATAAGCATTTGTCAAATAGAATTGTAATGCAATATGCCTTGTGAAATGCACTGCATGTGCCAACCATTGAGCCATATGCTTTACATATGTTAGCTCATTGACTTTTTACAACAGCCCTATGAGGTAGGCACCATCATCCTCATTTTACAGACGAGGAACCTGGAGCTCAGAGAGGTTAAGTCACTTGCCTCAGGTCACACAGCTGGTAATGTGGGTCCAGAGTTTGAACCAGATCCACCTGATTCCATATGGCTGTACTTTATGCACATGTTGCTTTTCAACAGTGAATGGCAGGTGAGATTTCACTGGCTGTGTTTGGGGCTGGAGAGACAATCTTGTAGGGCAGAGAAGACACAAAGAAGGAAGGCATTTTTTTTTTCTCCCCAGAATAGAGCAAAAGCTCTGTGAAAACACACTTACTGAGCATCTATGACATTCCAGAGAGACAAGAAAGATGAATAAAACACAGACCCTTCCCCCAAGATGTTCCCTGACTAAGAGGTTGGGGGAAGGGCATGAGCACAGGCACAAACGTGCTGGCTGGCGGCTGAAAAATGCTGCAGGAACACAGGACAGGCAGCCAGCGTGGGTGGCCTGGTGGGGTGTCCTCGGAGTATGCGAGACGGCAAGCACTATGCTGAGGAGAGAGAGCCTGGCTTCCCAGGACCTCAGTCCTCTTGCTACAGCCACTCAGAAGAGGCATCAGCTTTCCCACGGCCTTGCGTTCTAACCCTGGTGGCAGTCATTCCTAGGGGGACAGGACAAGAGGGCTGCGTGCCCACCCTACCAATTCCACTCAGCAACAGCTATCTCACCTATGATTAACCTTCTTCTAAGAAGAGCATGCTCTTCCACAAAACCATGAGTGCTTGTGTGTGAGTGCGCGCGTGCGAGTGTGTTAGGGTGCTAGTATGTGAGTGTAGGGGCCTGCAGAGTCCAGAAGAGGGCATCATATCCCCTGGAGCCTGAGTTATAGGTGGCTGTGAGCCACTGAGAGTGGGTGCCGGGCACAGAGCTCAGGTCCTCTGTGTGAGCCGTGCTCACTCTTAACTCCTGCCATATCTCCTGCCCTTTTGCTTGTTTGTTTATTTGTTTTGTTCTAGACAGGGTTTCAGACTCTAGTCCAGACTGGCTTTGAATTCACAACAATCTCCTTGTCCCAGCTTCCCAAGCCCTGGGGTTATAGGTAGGAATTACTATGCACAAGTTGAGCCAGGCACTTTAAGTGAGTTCTGGGGATGGAACTAGGGTCCTTCCTTGTACTTGTGTGGCAAACATTTCACTGACTGAGCTGTCTCCCCAGGCTCCCCTCTTTAAGAGTTTTGAGGATGCCTCTGATCATTAGCCCTCACCAGTGACTACTCCTGTCCTTGCTGCAGGTTACAAGACCCTCCTCAAGTGCCTGTCTGGTAAGTTCTGCCGCCGAGACCTGATTGGCATCATGGGCCCCTCCGGGGCTGGCAAGTCCACGCTCATGAACATCTTGGCAGGGTATAGGTGAGCATGAAGAAGGGAAGCAGGGCAGAACTCACAAGGGGGACCTCTTGAGGGAGTGCGGAAGGTGTTCTAAAGAGGCTTTGGTGCTCATCACCAACCATTCTCCCTGCAGGGAGTCTGGGATGAAGGGGCAGATCCTGGTTAATGGGAGGCCACGAGATCTGAGGACCTTCCGCAAGATGTCCTGTTACATCATGCAGGACGACATGCTTCTGCCACACCTCACAGTGCTGGAAGCCATGATGGTGAGGAGAGGGTGGCCTTGCCCTCCTCCACCAGCTGAAGGGGCTGGGCAGGGCCTGACACACATGCCTCCCTTACTTGTTTATCATTTTTTTAGGTCTCTGCCAACCTGAAACTGAGCGAGAAGCAAGAGGTGAAGAAGGAACTGGTGAGTGGGGTAGGGGTGTAAGGGATGGAGCCATTCTGAGGGTTATGAGTTTTAGGTCCCAAGTTGGGTGGGGAACAAGGGCCACACTTTGTGAAAGTGGGGTGCTGCTTAGGGGAAGCGGAGCTACTAAGGCTGACTGGGGCTGGGTGGGGTGTCCGCAGGTGACAGAGATCCTGACAGCCCTGGGTCTGATGTCCTGCTCTCACACGAGGACAGCCCTGCTCTCTGGAGGGCAGAGGAAGCGCCTGGCCATTGCCCTGGAACTGGTCAACAATCCACCTGTCATGTTCTTTGATGAGCCTACCAGGTATCTCCCTGCTAATCCTGACCTGGGTTTTCCTCTTTTCAGCCCTAAGCCAGGTCTGGATGTGGTTTCTGGTTCATGGCTCCCTGGCTGGAGACCAGATCTGCTGCTCGCAGCCTTCTGGGAACTCCATCCTTGCTAATCCAGTTGGAGCCAAGTTACCCTGTCTTTCATCCAGGTAGAGATCTGGATGTACCCTCCTACCCCTCCCTGATTGACATCTCCTTCTTCTCTCCCCAGCAGCATTAGTCATCAGATCCTCCGTTGGGTAGCTCCCACATTTGCCCAGCCCCATCCCTAGTGCTTGAGCTCAGGACATCATCAAGACTGATCTCCCTGCCTTCAGGCTCCCAGGCACCTTTCTCGAACCTGTGGCCAGAATGGTCTTTCTAAACAGGTCTAGAAAGTTCCACTCTCCTGCTTCAGACCACACAATGAGTTGCATTTGCCATCAAAATAGTCAGGTGGCTTCTTCTCCCATCTTTCATATCTTATGTTCTAATAATGCTGAGCTGCCTGCAATTCCCATCAAACCCTGTGTTCCATGCCCCTCAGCATGATGCTTGCTGTGTCTTCTGCATGGCGTGCCCTTCATCATGGCTCGCTTTTTGTTCTTTCACAAGCTCTTCTTCCTCTTCTAGACTCAGGAACCTTCCCTAGCCATCCTCCACCCCCTGCTAAGTTTATGGCATGGCTGACCCCCTGCCAGTCTTTCACTTGTGTTGCTATTACGCTTTCCACATCTCCTCAAGTCAACAATGAGCTCTCAGTAGACCAGTCCAACATAAGCTCCTGTCATTTCAGTGCCTTTTATGCAAAAGGTGCTTGGCATATGGTTTTTCAAACTGAGCAGTGCTCTGGGCTTGCAAATCTCTGAGCCATACAAGGTGTGCAGGATCTGGGAGTTTGCTTTCTGTTGCTGTAATAAGGGCCATAGCCAAAAGCAACATGGGAAGGAAAGGGTTTCTTTGGCCCTCATGTCACTGAGGCACCTGAGGGCAGGAATTCAAGCAGGGGCCAGGCAGGTCTCACGGAGGAATGCTGTTTACTAGCTTGTTTTCTAAGCTCACCTGATGGAGTGGCACCACACATACCGGACCACGCCCTCCCACATCAATCACTAATCAGGAAAATGTCCCCACAGGCCACTCTGATGGAGGCATCTTCTCTATGAATGTCCCCTCTTCCCAAATGACTCCAGTTTGTGTCAACTGACAAAATCTAACCAGCCAGGGGTGGCCAGAGGTTGCCTTTCCACTAGACCCACCCGGTTCACAGAAACTGCCCCACCTTACTCACCACCCCTTAGCCCCACCCACCTCACTGGTTCCTGGTGGCCTCTCTCTGGACAGCGGTCTAGACAGCGCTTCTTGTTTCCAAGTGGTGTCCCTCATGAAGTCCCTGGCCCACGGGGGCCGAACTGTCATCTGTACCATCCACCAGCCCAGTGCCAAGCTCTTTGAAATGTTTGACAAGGTCAGTACCCCCGAGTCTCCAAGAAGAATGGCCTGTGAGAGAGGGGCAGAAGTGTCCGTGGGCTCCCCCAGTCCACTGGTCATATTTTCCTCATGTGTTGCTTTCCGCCTCAGCTCTACATCCTGAGCCAAGGACAATGCATCTTCAAGGGTGTGGTCACCAACCTGATTCCCTATCTGAAGGGGCTTGGCTTGCACTGCCCCACCTACCACAACCCTGCTGACTTCAGTAAGTGGGGGCTCCTGTGAAGAGGTGGGAGACAGAAGAGGGCCAAACTTTGGGTTTGGGTCATGGAGGCCTCTTGGGGACAGATAGCTCATTGCCACTTGCTTTCCTCATATACCAAAGAGGGACTGACCTGCCCTTGGGAACTGAGGGTGAAGCCCAGCTGAGCACATTCTGCTCTGTGTCCCCTTAGTCATTGAGGTGGCCTCTGGCGAGTATGGAGACCTGAACCCCATGCTGTTCAGGGCTGTGCAGAATGGCCTTTGCACCATGGCCGAGAAGAAGAGCAGCCCCGAGAAGAACGAGGTCCCTGCCCACTGCCCCACTTGCCCTCCGGTGAGTGGAGTGGAGAGGGCAGAATGGGGGAGGGGAGATGGGACCGTAGCCAATGACCTTGCCCATCCTCATCCACTCATTCCTCTAGAGCTCCTATGAGCATCACTGGTGCGCTGCCCTCAGCGCCTGCTTAGGGACCATCTGGAAAGCACGGCAAATGCAATTGTTGACCTTGGGGCCAGGATGGTCTGATGTTATCTCTTACCCAGAGGTGACCACACTAGTTAGCAAATCACACAGGCTCTGAGCAGGGCCACTGGGGCAGCCAGGGTCCACCCAGTGCCAGATCCCTTCCTTAGGTGAGATGCCATCATTCCTGAAAGCGAGAGGCTTGGCTATTATCACTGTCATCATTGTGAATCAATGGGAGATCCAGTGGCCTGATGACACAATTATGGCCTTTGAGTTAGTGGTAATGAAGTGAAGAAGGAGCCAGATGACCAAGAGGGATCCTTGATGCCTTCTTGTCTCCTGCCACCCAAGTACCTTTATCAGCTTCTCTTCCTTCCTCGGTCTCCCTGAGGTTTTCACCTGTAAAGCAGCTTCAGGATGAACAGCTCAGGGGCAAAGGCTCCTCTTTCTGCAGGCCTAGACCTTGTCCTGGGAAGAGCTTGGGACTCTCCCATCTACTGAGCTGGATGGCAGTGGGTGGGTAGGGTACACTCACCAGGTCCCAATTCTTCTCTCTAGGAAGTGGATCCTATTGAAAGCCACACTTTTGCCACCAGCACCCTCACCCAGTTCTGCATCCTCTTCAGGAGGACTTTCTTGTCCATCCTCAGGGACACGGTGAGATGTCAAGCTGAGGGAGGGGCAGGAGGTGTAGGCTGGATATAGCCTCTTGGGCTATATACTCTCAGCATCTGGGATGGAAACTGGTACACTGCCCTCCCCTGTGATGTACCTTGGATGTACCTGCAGGGCACCCCGAGTCCCTATTCTAGCATGGCCTTCCCTTTGTCCCCCACCCCCACTCCCTTGTCCTGGAACACATACCTCTTCTCTTGATGACCTGTGCCGTAGGTCCTGACCCACTTGCGGTTTATGTCACATGTGTTGATTGGCGTGCTCATTGGCCTCCTCTACCTGCACATCGGCAATGACGCCAACAAGGTTTTCAACAACACCGGCTTCCTCTTCTTCTCCATGCTATTCATCATGTTCGCAGCTCTCATGCCAACGGTGCTCACTTGTGAGCTAATCTCCCTGGCGGGTGGGGCGGGAGTGCTGGGCACCAGGCAGGGGCCAAGGCTTGGCCTGACCTACTCATGCCCCCCTCAGTTCCCTTAGAGATGGCGGTCTTCATGAGGGAGCACTTGAACTATTGGTACAGTCTCAAAGCCTATTACCTGGCCAAGACAATGGCTGATGTGCCCTTTCAGGTGAGTCTTTTCCTGACCCTTGCCTCGAGCAGATTCATAGGTGATGTCATGGAATGTGTGGTCTAATGGGAAAACTGACAAGCTAGGAATGGAAACCATAGCCAGGTGGAATGGGTCACCTCATTCTAACACTTGGCAGTGGTGGAGGGAGGCTGAGGCGGGAGAATCGCCATGAATTCAAGTCCACCCAGAGCTGCAGTGTGGCTCCCTATCCCAAAATTAATAAATAAATAAAAGGTGACCATAATAGCAGAATATCAAAGGTCTCTGTCTTTTATAGGCAGCAGAGAGCTCATAGGTTCTGGGCCCTTACTTACTTTCAAGCTGTAAGACACTGTGCAACCTCCCGGTTTCTCTTTGTGTTAGTAGTGCCCCCACCCGTAGAATAGAATGACAACAGCGTCTTTCTCAGAGCCATGCTTTGGAATTAAGTGAGTGAATGTATATAAAGTTTAATTTTTAAAGACAGGATCTCTCTACATAGCTCTGGCTGTCCCAGAATTTACTGCGTAGACCAGGCTGGCCTTAAACTCACAGAGATCCGCCTGCCTCTGCCTCCCGAGTGCTGGGATTAAAGGCGTTTGCCACTGTGCCCAGCATTATTTTCACATCTATTTATTTATCTTCTGTGTGCAGTATATGTGGGGAGGTCACAGGACAGCTTACAGGATGCCGCTCTCTTCCTACAATATGTAGCTTCTAGAGACTGAACTCTGTCAGGCTTGGCATGCAAGTACCTTTACCAACTGAGCCATCTTGCTAACACATTCTAAATGCCCCAAAAATACCAGATGGCATTTGTTAATCCCATTACCACCTTGTTCTAAGCTTCAGGGCCACAAATAATCCATAGAGTACCTTTGTGCAAATTACAGAAAAGTGTCTCTTAGCTAAGGTGTGGTCAGGCACACAATGTAATCACGTGGAAGGATGATTAGGAATTCAAGGTCATCCACAGCTTGAGGTCAGAATGAATTACATGAGACATCTGTTTCAAACAAACAAACAAACAAACAGCAAAAGAGGAGGTAGACTCTGTCATGTGCTGTGTGCAGAGTTTAATGAGAGAAATACAAGCTAGATCTTGGTCTCTGGTTGTCTCTGTCTGGGAGCTGGGAGCCTTTGTACAGGAAACAACCTGTACAACTATAACTAGTGAGCGAAGTCCCTACTTCCCAAGGGCTTGTTTGGGAAGTGTGTGTGCTGGGGTTGGGGTGGGTTTGTGTTTTGTTATGAGACAAGCTCTCACTTGGTAGCACAGGGGATGGAAGGATGGGACTAGAGCACTTGCCATTCATGCATGATGGCTGGGGTTCCATTCCCAGCACCACCGAGGAAAAATACCATTTATTTTATTCTATTTATTTAGGGTTTCAGAAATGGGGCCTCAATCTATAAGTCCAGGCTGTACTGGAACAGACTATCTAGACCAGGTTGACCTTGAACTTGTGGCAATTCCCCTGTCTCAACCTCCCAAGTGCTAAGAACTTTATCACTTCTATTGAGGTTTACAACTGATTTTAAGGGTTAGGTATAGTAAGCAAAATGAAGCAAATTAATAAACCCATCATCTTAATTTTTGACAAGAGCATCGTGTGTGTGTGTGTGTGTGTGTGTGTGTAACTAGATTCTCTGTGGTGTACTTCAGATCTCTAGATTTGCCCAGCCCCCAGTCTGCTTCTTTGTAGCCAAAAGGTGGCAGCCTCAAGGGAGCCAGAGCTCTCCCCTACTGAGAGTTAATTGTTTAATACTATAAGGAGACCAGAGAGCTGACTCAGCGATTAAAGGTTAAAACGTGCTTGCTGCTCTTCCAACACCTACATCAAGCACTCACTACCTACCTGTAACCTCAGCTGCAGGGGACATACAACACCCTCTTCTGGCCTCCATGGCATACATATAAAGAGACACGCACATATACACATAAATAAAAGCAAGTCTTAAATATATATGTGATATTCATACACACATTATATGTGTATGTATATGGCTGTAGAGATGGCTCAGTGGTTAGAGGTATTTGTTGCTTTTGCAGAAGGCTTCAGTTCAGTTACCAGCACCCATATCAGACAGCTTAACACACACACACCCTAGTTTTGATGGGAAGGACTATAGGTACTTAGAGGTGGAAGGAGTCACCATGCCTGAGCCTGAACCTGTCAGAGCATCAAAACAAAGTTATGTAAAATATAGTTGCCCAAAGGTGGTGGTGGTGGTTTTTAATCCTAGTACTTGAGAGGCAGAGGCAGGCGGAGCTCAATGTATTTGAGGCTACTCTGGTCTACAGAGCAAGTTCCAGGACAGCATCGCTACACAGAGAAACCCTGTCTCAAAAAAAGAAAAAAAAAAAAATGTGGTCTGGAGGAAGGGGACATATGTCAGTCTAAGAGCAGCATGGACAAGTGTGGAGCAGTGTAGAACCAAGGAGCCTTTGGAATACTCATTCTCCAGTGAAGTGGTGGGAGGAATTAGATCCCTTGCCCTTGGCTTGAGAGTCCCTAACCTCTTCTGTGGCTGCTCCCCAGGTGGTATGCCCAGTTGCATACTGCAGCATCGTGTACTGGATGACAGGCCAGCCAGCTGAGACTGGCCGCTTTCTGCTCTTCTCAGCCTTGGCCATAGCCACCGCCTTAGTAGCCCAGTCCTTGGGACTGTTGATTGGCGCTGCCTCCAACTCCCTGCAGGTGGGAAAGTTGTCGCACAGGTGGGATCTCATGGGAGCCATCAAGGGGTGGGTGGAACTGTGGTCACCCTTTGACACCATCTCCCCTCTTCTCCAGGTGGCCACCTTTGTGGGCCCAGTCACTGCCATCCCTGTCCTCTTGTTCTCTGGCTTCTTTGTCAGTTTCAAGACCATCCCCACTTACCTGCAGTGGAGCTCCTACCTTTCCTATGTCAGGTCAGTGTGTCTCCCTCCCCTTGGTGGCCTGTCAGCACTAAAGAGAGATATGCCATGTCTGATGTCTGCCCCTGCATCCTTTCTGGCACCTGAGTATGAGATCACTGTGGCTGGGCTCTGGGGATTTGCTGAGGGACAGGGGTCCTGTGCTCTGTGTCTTGCTCTGATGCCACTATTTGTCTAGGTATGGCTTTGAGGGTCTGATCCTGACCATTTATGGCATGGAGCGAGGACACCTGGACTGCGCAGATAAAAAATGCCCATTCCAGGATCCACAGATCATCTTGCAAGAGCTGGATGTGGAGGAGGCTAAACTGTACATGGACTTCCTGGTCTTGGGTGTTTTCTTCCTTGCCCTGCGACTGCTAGCATACCTTGTGCTCCGGTACCGGGTCAAGTCTGAGAGATAGAGCCTTGCTCCCATCTCTTTTGGGCAGGAAGTCCCCAGCTCCAGCCCTTTGGGACTGTTTTAAATGTGTAGACTTGGGCATTGGTTGCTGGTGCAGCCGCCCTCCTCTCCCTCAGCTGCTCCACAGGCTGGCTCCCAGCCTAAGCCCTGGAGGTAGGGCTCAGCCCTCCCTATTAAGCCCAGGAGTCTTCCCAAATTGATGCAGTTTGTAGCTTCCTCCCTACTCTGTCCAATGTCTGCATGCAAAGACCATTGGGAGGTTGCCACCCTCCTCTCTGCCCAAAGCACCCTCCTATGCTGTTTGCCTGGGGAGCCCCATGTTCTCTAGGCTTTGACTTACAAGTGATCAAAGTGCCCCTTCTGGGGGTCCCCACCACACTAGTGTTCATAAACTGGGTTGCTATAAGGTTGAAGTTCCGGGGCTGGGCCCTGTGGGGTCTCCAGGGAGTCCCATCATGGACATTGGATGGAGCAAGGAGGGACTCTGGAAGTCTCTTCCTCCTCCTCCCCCTTCCTCCTCACACCCACTTTGGCTAATTTGGACAATCTGTTGGGACAGAAGCTGGGTTTTCTGTCTGGGTCACCACTCCCAATCCTGGAGATTGGAGAGACTATGAGACTATGGGATGTCCTACTCCCTTCCCTAAACCTTCAGTCAGGGTAGGTCTCAATGGCACCTCTGCAATAATGTCTGTGTCATTTGCCCACCTGCCACTGGAACTGGAGAATGCACTTTATTCTGGGGGGAGAGCCGGGGAAGCCTCGATCCTCCCGAGGCTCAGTTCCACAGGCTCCTTTCCTCTCCAGAGTCACAGGCACATGAACAATCAGGCCATCTCAGCCCCACACATGCGCCACCCCTGACAGCTTGGAGGAAGAGTGATGGTGGTGGCAGGAGGAAATCCTGCTTTGGAGGCTAAGAATGAGGCTGGTGTGACCCAGCATGGCTCTGGGCTCTTCAGGTTTCTCTATCCCAGCCTTCCCTCCATCCTGAGCCGGGGTGGCACTGAGGATCTGCCTCCTGGAGGTCAGGGCCCAACAAGCACAAGAATGGGCATAGCTGGCTTCAGCCGCTGCTCCCCCAAGGCCCTCCTTTTGTGCTCTAAGGTGACACTCACCCTTCTGCCCCTTCTCCAGCTGCCTGCTGCTCATTCAAACTTCTGTTCACATATCTCCCTCTTCTAGTCAGCTGGTCCCTGGACATCAGAGCAGCAGGGCCTGGACGCCAAGGTGGCAGACACACCTGGAACATGTCTGTTTTCTTGGTGGGTCTAGGATCTTCCTACATCTGATTTCCCCTACCCCAGAACCCTTTCCCCAGTCCCTTCGCTCACTCCTCTGTACTTGCCCCAGGTTCTTCTCATTACACAGATGCCAGTTGTATTTGTGGGATTTCCATCATTATTAATAAAACCTATATTTATACAGTATGCTGTGTGTGAATAAGGGTCTGCCACGTACTACCACAGGATGTGTGAGGGAGTCTTCAAATCACTTGGCAAGATGTCTGCCAGCTTCGGGGGTCCTGTGACAGGGGTGTTAAGTCTCAGACATGTGTCAAATAGTGAATGTATATCTCTTGTTTTTGTTTTTTTGAGACAGGGTTTCTCTGTATTGCTTTGGAGCCTGTCCTGAAACTAGCTCTGTCTGCCTCTGCCTCCTAAGTGCTGGGACTAAAGGCATGTGCTACCAATGCCCAGCATGAATGTATAGCTTGTTAATTATTTGTGTCATGCTTCCTACCTGACCAAAACTTCAGTGGCAACCCCACGCAGCCCATTTTTTTCAGTTGAGAAAAAGGTGTGTTGGGCCCTTAAATAGTAGGAAAAAACAGTAGAAATGGAACCTTGAGGGATGGGGGTGTAGCTCAGTTGATAGAGTGCTTGCCTAGCACGCATGAAGACTAGGTCCAGTCCCCAGCACTGCATTATCCAGATGTAGTGGCATACAAGTCACATGTTATCCTAGCACTTGGGAGATGGACATTGCAGGATTGGAAGTTCAGAGTCATTCTCAGTTACCTAGGAAGTTCAAGGCCAGCCTGGGCAACACGAGACCCTTCCTAAAGGGGAATGGGGTGAGGAGTGGAACCTGGAGACTCCATTCTCGGCATTGGTCAGGGCTCTTGATCACAGTTGGGTCTACAAGGTGTGTGTGTGTGGGAACTCATGCCTGTTGCATAGATCTATTGCCAAAATGACCCACGACTCTTTCCAGGGCTCAGGGAGCCCTGATAGTGCACAGAGGGGAGGGGGAATGCCAGTCAGTGGCTTTCAGCAAGGGCAGTGAAAACAGAAAAAAGAGACCCTAACCAAGTGGGTCTCAAAGGTCCTAATGCTGTAACTCTGTAATACAGTTCCTCATGCTCTGGTGACCCCAACCATAGACTTATTTCCTTGCTACCTCATAACTGTAATTTTGCTACTGTTATACACAGTAATGTTAATATCTGATATGCAATCCCAAAGGGGTCGTAACCCACAGGTTGAGAACCACTGCCTTAGAGCCTTACCTGCCTCCAGGATGGGGGTGGCAAGAAGCAGGGGCCTCATTGGACTTAACTCTATTTTTCTCTTTTCCTTTCCCTCTTCTTTCCTACTGAACCACATATACTGGGGCCGAGCCATCAGCAGTCAGCACCATAGTGGACAAGTGTTCTGAGGGTCCTGAGGGCTGGTGGCAGATGGCCCAAGAAGCTGTGTGTTGATTTATCCTCTTCTCTTTTGGGCCTGAGGCTTGGTGATTGAAGGAAGGGACTGACACCAGCCCTGTTGGCTGTCTGGGATAACACATTTGTGCCACAGATAGAGGAAGTGTCCTGGTCTGGACTAGGGTCCAGATATGACTGGTTAGGCACTCAACTGTAGACAGATGAACTTTGCTTCTTATGAACATTTGGAGTGAGAGGGAGAGGTAGGGAGAATCTGACTTCTGGGTTGTTTTAGGGGGTGTTTAGGGACCTTTTTCATCTTGGGGTGATGCTGATAAATGGTTCCTCACAAGTTCCTCTATCAGGTAGTTTTCCTGCCTCTCTTCCTCCTTCCTTCCTTCCCCTCCCTCCCTTCTTCCTTCCCTCCCTCTCTTCCTCCCTCCTACCTTTCCTTCCTTCTTTCCTTTTAAGTCAGGGTTTCTCTGTCCTGGAACTCACTCTGTAGATCAGGCTGGCTTCAAACTCATAGACATCCATCCACCTGCCTCTGCCTCCTGAATGCTGGGACCCAGCACCTGGGTCTTTTCTTTTCTTTGCTTATATCTTTGAGACAGGGGATCACTATGTAATCCTGGCTTGCTATGTAGACCAGGCTGGCTTCAAACTCAGGGATCTGCCTATTTTGGCCTCCTGAGTACTACTACTAGGATTAGAGATGCATGCCACCATACACAGCTGTTTTTATTTTTCTCTAATATTAACTTCCATTACCTATATATCTTGGCAGGCTTACTAATTTATCTACTTATCCTTTTTAAAAAACTTATGTTTATATATGTGTATGTGTCTCACAGAGACTGGAAGAGGGAACCAGATCTGGAGTTATAGACAGTTGTGAGGAGTCATGTGGGTGCTGGGAATTGAACCTAGGTCTCTGGAAGAGCAGCCAGTGCTCTTAACCACTGAACCTCTCTCCAGCCCAATTTGTTTATTTTTCTACAGAGTCTCTTGTAGCCCAGGCTGGCCTTGAACTTACTATGGCACTTCAGAGCTGGCCTAGAATTTCTGATCTCTTGCCTCTACCTCTCAAATACTACACTTACAGGCATGTACATCTATTTCATGCATTGTGTTGCAAATCAAGCCCTGGGCTTCATGTGTACTAGGCAAGCAGTGTACCAATCTGGCTACATCTCCCAGCTCCTTCCTAACCATGTAGCCCAGGTTTCCCTTGAGATCAAAGCAACTCTGTTGCCCTCAGCCTCCTAAGTGCTGGAATTACAGGAATGAGCTGCCACCAGTTTTTTTTTTTTTTTCCAGATTCTTCCTTTACTGCTTTATTTTTTTTTTATTTGTTTAGTTATTCAGCTGCAGGTTGAATCTAAGATCCTGCACATCCCCAAGCCTTTTTAAATTGTTTTAAACTTTTAGACAAATTCTCACTTTACCTAGGTTGGCTTTAAACTTAGTCTGTAGCCTCAGATTTTAGCTCTCCTTTCTCAGCCTCCTAAATAGCTGCAATTACAGGCCTTGGCCTCCAAATGTAAACTCTTCACCAGGTGCTGTGTGAGGAGTCTTTTTTTGTTCAGCCAGCCAGCTCCTGAATAATGACACGGAGACTTGTTATTGATTATGAAACCTCAGCCTGTAGCTCTCTTATAACTTAAACTATCCCATTTATGTTCTATCACATGGCCTTACCTCTCTTCCATCTTGCACCTTCTGTTTCCTCTATGTTTCTCCTGACTTCTCTTGTGTTCCTTGAGTCCTCCTCCTCTTCCTTTCTCTTCCTGGAAATTCTGCCTATGCCTCCTGCCTCTCTATTGGGCCTTCAGCTTTTTATTACACCAATCATAGCAAATACATCCTGGAACAATATACACATATCTCACAACAGTGGTGGTGGTGTACCCCTTTAACACCAGCACTCAGAAGGCAGAGGCAGGTGGATCTCTGTGAGTCTGAGGCCAACCTGGTCTACAGAGTGAGTTCCAGAACAGCCAGGGGAATTCTGTCTTGAAAAACCAAAAGGAAAAAAAAAAAAAAAAAAAAAAAAAAAAAAAAGTAGACCCTTCTTCCATCCCATACTAAACATACTCACTCTTACTGAGCTAACACTCCCAGCCCCAAATGCAAATAGTTCTGAAATAATTAAACACCTTTGATTTGCAGTTCCACAGAGACCAGAGAGGGCAAACAGCCCTTCTGAAGCCGCATCACCTGCCAGGCACTGAGAATATTTGTAGAATGGTTCACAAATTCACAAAGAGAGTTCGTTTGATTCCAACAGTAACCCCAAGATGGGGTTAAGAGCAGTGCAGCCACCTCTGTCTTCAGCAAAGGAACATGAAGCAGGCTGAAGCTACAGACAAGCTCTCCAGACACTGTCACCCACCTGTTCTGTCTCCCCCTACTTCCAGCAACCTGCCCATCCAGGTATGTCTGGAAATGGGTCCTCTCTGCTGTGCCCGCCTGCTAGGGCTCCGACTGTGTTCTCCCCATTCGACCTCTCTGTGGCAGGGCCTGTGCAAAGGGCTAGAGGACAGAGGTGATCAGATGGTCATCTGTGCCATGGCTCTTGGAGGCCAGACAACAGAGGACATGCCCACAGCATGACTCACAGGCCTTCTGTCTGCAGAAGCCAGTTGAATTATATGTTATTAATAAAACCCACAGTTGTCACAGAGGGGAGGGGAATGGCTTGTTCTAAGCAATGCCCAATAATTGTGGCCAGGTGACAGTTGGCTTCCCATGGCTAGGTAAGTAGAGTAAAACTAGAGGAGGCTCTTAGACCCTAAATGTTGCCCCTGAGGCTATAACCATGAAGAAGCTTCATCCTCATTCAACTCCTCTGGAAGAACTTCTTTTATTTATTTTTTAATATTAAATATGTGTGTGAGTGTTTTGTTTGTATGTATATCTGTGTACCACAAACATGCAGTGCTCAAAGAGGCCAAAAGAGGGCATCAGACCCATTGAGACTGGAGTTAAAGCCTGTTTGAGCTGCCTTGTAGTTGATGGGAATTGAACCCAGGTCCGCTGTAAGAGCAGTCAGTGCTCTTAACTGTTGAGCCATCTCTCCAACCTTGATGGACTGCTTTTCAAATGCAAATATGCCATTTTCCATGCTGCCCAGCATGCCTTTCTGACTGACTTTTTATCGTCCAGTTCAAATGTCACAGTCTCTGCTAGAAGCAGGTAGGCTTTCTGCCTTTGAAGAGCATTCACTGTCAACATGATGGGTCCCTGCACGACTTGTTCTGGTTGTCTGGTTGGCAGCCCAGGATGAGTGTCCAGAACTGGCCCAACACCATACATGGAATGAATGGACATTCGCCTAGATGAGATAATCCCCATTGTCTTCTGTTCCAATGGAGGACAGACCACAGAAGTCTCTTCCCAGCCCTGCCCCGAGGAGCCTCTCTCTTGAATTCTGTATTTCATGTCTGTTCCCTGAACATCGCACACCCATGTTTGCATGTGGAGGCGTTCCTTGGCTAAAGGGGATGGGTGGCTCTGCCATCCCAGTTACGTGAACCTTGGGTGTTCCTTCAATGGAAGGAATAAGGGTGGGGGTTTTTAGGACCCGGAAGTCCCAGGGCTAAACCATGACTGGATGTCAGACAGGAAGAGCAGGTTGGAGAAGGAACTGTTAATCAGTCCCCAGTCTTCCTTCCTGGCCAAAGTGAACAGAGGCCCCCCTAGAGGTTTTGGGGCTGAATGACACAGAAGGGCTTAGTCTTGTCCCTGGAGGACCAAGAAGGAACAGGAGGACCAGGAAGAGAGGTCAGTAGGCCCTGGGGATGACTATCTCAGTCTGAGAAAGGTTTAAACCTGGCGCTTTTGCTCTTTCTCATCTGCTTCCAGTTGGGGCAACCTGAGCCAGTCATTTCATGCTTCTGCGCTTCATCTGAATTTTCATCTGTAAAATGGGCGTTATCAACAAATCCAGACTGGGAGGCGCACATGAGGTCATCGGCTGGGCCTGACGCTTGGGAACCTGCAGGGGGCAGTACCGGAACCCGGGTCCTAGGAGGGCCGGGTGGGGCTGAAGTCCTAATCCCGCGCCGCGGACTCATCGGGCCCCCTTCAGCCGGTCTCCGCTCTGTGAGCGCTTTGGTGCCCAGGCCGGGCGGGGTGCCAGAGTGGGCCGGGCCGCGCGCTGCCTGACTGGTGGAGGCGTGCTAGACGCGCTGTGCCGAGCGAGCCGGGGATGCTGGGAGCCAGCGAGAGGCGCCGGCTTCCACCCCTCCAGGCCGCAGCGACGGGCACCAGGGCCTGGGCAGCCTGGGTAAAGGCCTAGCTGGCTCGATCGCTCCTCCGGTCCCCGGCTGGACGGCTGCGATGAGCCCTGGAAGCAAGAGTCAGGCTGCTGGGTGGCGGGAGCGGGCAAGTGGCGTTGGGAGTTCTGCTGGAGCTTGGGCGCTGATTGTGGGCCTGCTGGCAGATTCACTTTGCTCCCTGAAGCCAAGTGGAAGTGGGAGAGCTGTTGGTAGGGGAGCTCTGCACATTCTTGCTGCACCCCTTCTTTTGATTAGTGCCCTGCACATTCTTGCTGCACCCCTTCTTTTGATTAGTGCCATGACAACTATTTGATTAGAGAATTATCCTAAACTCTGTGTGTCTTATCTTGACTCAGTGGACCTGGAGCTCATGCCAATTCTGAGTTTTGCCAGGTTTTCAGGACCATTCTCTAGCCCCTGGGACTTCTGTTCCCAGCCTAGTCAACACCCTTGCCAGCTCCTGCTCTGGCTGCACTGCTAAAGCACTCCCCAAGTTTGCCCCTCTTTTAGGGCCAGTGTCAGTGAGGGAGGCCATGGCAATACAGGGGCACAGGCATGCCAAGGAGCAGAGGGGGCCAGCAAAACTCGGGAGAGTGTACCTTGAGCAGACTCTTTGAAGAGTGTCTGGGATTCTGATAAAGCAGATGCTAAGCAAAGTGTATGAACTAAGTTAGGAAGGTGAGAGCCACAATCCAGCAGTCTTGAAGGAAGAGGAGTGGGCTGGGGCAAACCTAGAAAAATAGCTTGTGTGGACGTGGGGCTTGTAGCTGTTAAGTAGTGTAACTTTAGGGAGTTGATCTCTACAGGGGATGAGGAATTGGAATAGGCCAAGGGTGAAGGCACAGAGAACCCAAGGAAGTGGGGTCCTGTGAGGTCTGGAGGGATCTGAACAAGTTCTCAGATGATCAAGTTTTGAAAGGGTTGGCACACAGCAGTAGGGAGGGATCTGTAGGACTGTCTTCACTATCTAAAGGGAAAGAAGGATTAAAAAAAAAAAAAAAAAAAGCCAAGAAATACAGCGTGAATCCAGGGTTTGGAACAGTTCTTTAGTAAAGTAACCAGATTTTGGGATGTGGGGAGGGGCGCTGATGAGGCCAGGCTGGCCCTGGGTGAAGTGTGAGGCAGAGGCAGCATATCCTATGTCAAGCAGGAAGTTCATTCACACATTCATGTATTATTTATGCCAGCTTTAAAGGTAGCTTACATAAAAGTCAGAAGATAAAGTGATAAAACTATTAAAACTCAACTAAAAGGATCTCATGGCTGGGACACAATAATGAATAATAATGAAGACTGGATTGAGGGAATATCTAGGCTCAGAAAAGGCACTGGAAGTGGCTGAGCTTGCTAGCAGTCAAGCAAAATAAAATCTAAAAGCAGATGATTGGGCTGGAACTCTACACAAAGGCAGCTGTGAAACCCAGCGGGGAGGCAGGCATTGGTAGGAGATAAGATGGAATCATTGAGGCTGGGATTATCCTTGCTGAGCAGAGCTATAAGCCAGGCCAGTGCTTCAAACAGGCTGACATCTGAAGTCTGAGGACTGGCTCAGCCTCCCTTGGGAGATGGTCCCTCCTTGGATGCTAGGAGTAAGGGTTGGAGAAGTGTGTGTGTGTGTGTGTGTGTGTGTGTGTGTGTGTGTGTGTATGTGTGTGAGGTGAGAGAGAGATGTGGGATGTTTGAAGGGCCATATATTCATACTATCGTTTGTTTTTCAATTACATTTTTTAAGCCTTTTTAAACCTTTCTTTCTTCTTTTCTCCACCCCCCTTCCTTTTGGTTTTTCAAGACTGGGTGTCTCTGTGTAAATCTGGCTGTCCTGGAACTCACTCTGTAAAGCAGGTGGTAGACAGAGATCCTCCTGCTTCTGCTTCCCTAGTGCTAGGATTAAAGGCATGTGCCACCACGGCCTGGCAAGTTTTTCTTTTATAAATTTATTTGTTTGTTTATTGTGGGAATAGTTCTCTCTTTCTAGCCAGCGGGTTCCTGGAATTGAACTCAGGTTCCAGGCTTGGTAGTGGGAAACTTTACTCATGAACCATCCTGTCAGCCCCATTCACACTATTCTTTTTGCAGGGGAACAAGAAAGAAGGGGGTCCTAATTGTTGCAGGCTCTGACTTTCCTAGGATGAGGTGGGGCTGCCATTTGCCCAGGACCTCTTGGGGCTCGGGTGTAGGAAGAACACCCCAATCATCAGGTAAGCAGGAAGCTTGGGTTTGTTTTGACCCCTCCTTTCTGCTTTTAGAGTCCAAATGGTGCTTCTAGAAAAGCAGGGATCCAGACAGGAGGTGCACTAGTCCCAGCTGTGTGGTATATAGCTGGTGTCCTTGGGCATGCCACCTCACCTCCCAGAGCCTTTTCCCATCTTCAGACAAGGGAGCTGAGCAAGCTCCTTCTAGCAGTATCAATCTGATTTTTCATCCAAGACATTAGCTGTGTGTTGGCTGTGTACCAGATCGTGGGTTGGGTTCTTGATATGTAATTGTGAATAAAACCAGATGTGAGCCCTGCACTCATGGAGGGGAAATGGATGATAATCAAATAATCATATGGACAAATAGAAGCTTATGTAATAACTGCTATTTAGGAACAGCACATGCTACTATAAGTGCAAATAGGAGGGGGATTTGATATCAGTGTTGGGATGTGCATTGATGGGGAGATGTGAATGGGATCTACAGATGTTGCCTCTTTCTTCTCTCTGTAGATGAGCATATCTCCTTCCTGACCCACCGGAGTTGGCCATTTAAAGGGGTGCCTCCCCTTGGGTCCCCTAGGTGAGACCTGGGTGTGTCATGACTCAGACCATAGATAAACAAAGCTCAGGAGATGGTCAGAATGTGCTATCATGATCCCCTGGGAGACTTGTGAGGATGGGTACAGAGACAACTTCCTGGAATCTAGAGGAAGCTGGCTTAGATCATGTAGGTACACATGATGATGGGGAGTGGGACAGATTGGGCAGAGGCCAGTCTGAGACCCAGGCGGGCAGTAATTAGGACTGGAGGGGCCTGCCCTCGATCCTTGGGAAGGGTAGGAGTTTGGGTCTCATCTTAGAAAGTACAGACTGGATTAGACTGAGCCTGTGCCAGGGTTAAGTTCTGTTCTAAACCCCAGATCATCCTGTGTCTTTTCTCACAGGGCCTTTATCCGTCACCATGGAAACTCAGCAGACAGTGATCCCCGACCAGGGAGGCATGGACAGCTGTTCAGGAGCATCTCTGCTACTGGTAAAGGAGGGGTATGGAAAGGAGAGGGGCCTGGAAGGAGAGGAAGGATGAGGGAGGCATAGAGAATCACTGCTGTCATCTACTAGTGGTCCTTCTTCCCTGTCTCTCTTCCTCGCATCATCCTTGCATTACTGGTGCTGTGCACACGGAACATACACAAAGCACTAATGGAGACAGTCTCTCCCTACCTTCAGCCAACCTTCCAGTAGCTAGGTTAATACTAGTTAAGACTATACATATAGAAAGTCAGGAAACCAGTCAGCCCAGGTTTTGTTCATAGATATTCTGGCTGTATTCTGTCAGAGGGCTTCTAAACCTAACGAGTAATCTGTTGGTTAAAGGGAATTCTATGTGCCCACACTGCAATGGGTTCCTGTATCTTTGAGTTCTCTGTGTTGACTCCCTACCTTGACCTACAGCCACCCTGGCTGGCCGGAAGAGCAAGCATCTCTAGTCCCTTGCCTTGATCCTTGTTTTTTGCTTTTTGCTTTCTCATCCAGAAGCCATCCAAAGGCATCGCCGGAACCTCACAGAGTGGTTTAGCCGGCTGCCTAGAGAGGAACGTCAGTTTGGACCAACCTTTGCTCTAGACACAGTCCATGTTGATCCTGTGATCCGCGAGAGCACGCCAGATGAGCTGCTTCGCCCATCCACAGAGCTGGCCACAGGGCATCAGCGAACCCATGCTGGGCTGCCCCCATTGGCTCTGTCTCAGCTCTTTGACCCAGATGCCTGTGGGCGCCGCGTGCAGACAGTGGTGCTGTATGGGACCGTGGGTACTGGCAAGAGCACCTTGGTACGCAAGATGGTCCTGGACTGGTGTTACGGGAGGCTGCCCGCCTTTGAGCTGCTCATCCCCTTCTCCTGTGAGGACTTGTCATCCCTGGGCTCTACCCCGGCTTCCTTGTGCCAACTTGTGACCCAGCGTTACACACCCCTGAAGGAGGTGTTGCCCCTGATGACTGCTGCCGGATCTCGCCTGCTCTTTGTGCTCCATGGCTTGGAGCGTCTCAACCTTGACTTCCAGCTGGCAGGGACGGGGCTTTGCAGTGACCCAGAGGAACCCAGGGCACCAGCTGCCATCATGGTCAACCTGCTACGCAAATACATGCTTCCTGAGGTGGGTTGCTCTTTTCTACACCCTGCCACTGCTGCCCCTTAACCTGCTCCATCGGGAATATTATGTTCTTGGCCTGCGTGGTTGCTGTGCAGGCCAGTACCTAGGTTAGTTCAATCCCTGTCCCCTCCACTTCCTAAATGTGTGACCCTGAGCAAGCCATTTATTTACCTTCTCAAACTTTTTCGTCCTTCTGTCCTTGTTCTGTATGGGTTAAGTGAGATACCATATGTAAAGTGCTTAGCTCTATGCCAAGGCCCTAGTAGATAATCAGTAATTGATGTTGATAATTTTTTTGGAAAGGTTCTCACTGTGTATTTCAGGCTGTCCTGGAGCTCACTATCTATACCAAGCTGACTGTGAACTTACTGAGATCTACCTGTTTCTGCCTCCTGAGTGCTGGGATCAAAGGCATGTGCTGCCATGCACAGTGCTGTTAGTGATAATGTTGATAACCATGGTTCCCTTCATTCTTGGACCACCTCCCCCCACATCTTTAGGGGCTTGAGACAGGTTTCTTGAGACACAGAAGTTTTTCTCTTAACCTTTAACCATATCCTTCCCAGGCCAGCATTCTGGTAACCACCCGGCCCTCTGCCATTGGCTGTATCCCTAGCAAGTATGTGGGTCGCTATGGTGAGATATGTGGCTTCTCTGATACCAACCTGCAGAAGCTCTACTTCCAGCTCCGCCTTAACCAGCCTGACTGTGGATACGGTGCAGGGGGTTCAGGTGTCTCAGCCACACCAGCTCAGCGGGACAACCTGATTCAGATGCTGTCCCGAAACCTGGAGGGGCACCATCAGATTGCTGCTGCCTGCTTCCTGCCCTCCTATTGCTGGCTTGTCTGTGCTACCTTGCACTTCCTGCATGCTCCTACCCCTGCTGGCCAGACCCTCACAAGCATCTATACCAGCTTCCTGCGCCTGAACTTTAGCGGTGAAACACTGGATAGCACCCATCCCTCCAATTTATCTCTGATGGCCTATGCAGCCCGAACCATGGGCAAGCTGGCCTATGAGGGGGTGTCATCCCGCAAGACCTATTTCTCTGAAGAGGATGTCCGTGGCTGCCTGGAAGCTGGCATCAAGACAGAGGAAGAATTTCAGCTACTGCAAATCTTCCGACGGGATGCCCTGAGGTTTTTCCTGGCCCCGTGTGTGGAATCAGGACACCTGGGTACTTTTGTATTCACCGTGCCTGCTATGCAGGAATACCTGGCTGCCCTCTACATTGTTCTGGGTTTACGCAAGACAGCCCTGCAGCGAGTGGGTAAAGACGTGGTTGAGTTTGTGGGCCGTGTTGGGGAGGATGTCAGCCTGGTACTGAGCATCGTGGCCAAGCTGCTGCCCCTGCGGATTCTGCCTCTCCTTTTCAACTTGCTCAAGGTAAAGACCCCTGCCCCTAATACACACACACATACACACACATACTCACACACACACACATACACACACTCCGTGTTCCTTCTTCCCAGGATTCCAGACTGCCTCATAATCTGTATGCATTTCTTGTCTTCTCCCAGTGGGGAGAGACTGCTTCTTGCATGCATGGAAATCTAGAAATTTGGCTTTTAGTGGAATTGAGGTCTGAGGAATGGAGAGAAGGAATCCACAGGGAGGCTTGGGGGATAAAAGGGAAATTGAGGTTTCAGGGACTTTTAAAACAATTCCAAATGGATTCCTAACAAGGATTTCTTTTCCTCCCTCCCTCCCTCCCTCCCTCCCTCCCTCCCTCCCTCTCTCTCTCTCTCTCTCTCTCTCTCTCTCTCTCTCTCTCTCTCTCACTGTCTCTCTTCCTCTTTCTCCCTCTCTCTCTTTCTCTTTTCTTTTCTGCTGCTGGGAGATAGACTGGGTCATTGCAGTGCAGTCTAGTTTGCAGGCCCAGAAACTTTTTTTCATTTTCTTTTTGTGGTGCTGGAGATTGAACCCAGGGCTTTGTACCTGCTAGGCAAATGTTCTGCCTCTGAGCTATATCCCCAGTAACCCCAGGCCCAGAAACTCAATTGTGTCTGCTCCTTTAGAGGAGTCTGGGCCTCAGGAGCAATGATTCATCCTAACTCAATCACTGGAGACAGGTTTATAAAGCAGATGCCATTTATTCATCTTTTCTGGGAGGATGAATGACATAGGTAATTGGTTTAGGACAGTCCATCCTGGGTGCAGGTCCACTCTAGAAACCACCCAACAGGCCTGGGCAGGCCAGGAGGATATGGGATGTTCCTGGGGGATGGAGGGGCCAGTCTTGCTGATGTCTGCCAGATGCTGCACTGCATCTTCCTTTGTTTGCAAATGAGCCGAGCTCTGGAGATGAATTACTGCTCCAATCTCTTTTCATATCTTGAAGAAAATGGTTCAATGGTTAGAATGCTTGCAGCGCGAGCAGGAGGATTTGGCTTGGATCTCCAGAACCCATGAAAATGCTGAATAATTCACCTCAAAAGGCTAAGACATAGGATTCCTTGAGCAAGCTGGATAGTGAGCTCTCATCTGATTGACAGACCCTGCCCAAAGAATAAGATGAAAGGGTCATTGAGGACGACTCCTGGGATCAGTCTAGGGTATCCACATACACACACACACACATGCACCCTCACACTGCTCCTCTTCTTTCTGACCTGGGAATTGGGTCCAGGGTCCTACACATGTCTGGCAACACTCTGCCACTCAGCTATATCCCTACATCCTTAGCCTTCATGATAATCATATTAACTCATTGTCACAAATTTTATTTTCTGGTCTTTTCCCCAGATTAATATTGAGTACTATCATTTCTGTGGCAAGAACCTCACATTTGAAAAATGAACAATAAGCTGGCCAGTGGTAGCATGCACCTTTAATCACAGCACTTGGGAGGCAGAGGCAGGCAGATCTCTGAGTTTGAGGTCAGCCTGGTCTATAAAGCAAGTTCCAGGAGAGCCAGGACTACACAGGGAAACCCTGAAAAGAAAAGAAAAGAAAAGAAAAGAGAGAAAGAAAGGAGAGAAAGGAACATGAACAATAATGGAGGCATCAGAGGAGGTGCTATAAAACAACCTCTTGTTTCTTTGCAAGGATGGGAGGTGACCTAGCAAACCTCCCCGCCTGTAACTCATTCTCTGTCAAATATTTCAGTACTTCTTGTGCACTGGGCAATGTGTTAGGTTTGTGGGAGAAACCAATTAATGTCTGCAGGTTCCTGCCTTTTCTGATTTTACAGACCAAACACAAAAGTCAACATACCTACACAATGAAAAATGATAAATGCCTGTAAGAAAAGTTCTGATGTTCTAAGAGAGATATACGTACCTGGGTTTGAGCAGTCAGGAAAGCCTCATGGAAGAACATTTAAACTGATTTCTGAAGGATTAGCCAAGAGGACAGTTGGGGTGGCATCAGTATGTAGGCTCTGAAAAAGGGGGAAGCCTCAGCCCCAAGGAAGGCAAGGAAAGTTGAAAGGAAGGAAATATGGGGAGCAGGGGTGTAGGCTTGGGATGAGGGCACTGAGGTTGGCAGGGCCTATCACGCAGCACCTTGAAGCAGCAGGAGCCACATCAATTGTGGTAGCTGGGATGACCAGGATGATGAAAGTGTTGATATATTTATAACACCCAGCCTGGTTTCCAACCGAGTGGCTGAAAGTCAGACTCTTGCATCTGCTGTCTGAACATGCATCCTACTGTAGACTTCAAATGTTTGAACCAGATACAGTGGCATGTGTTTGTAATCCCAGTGCTTGGGAGGCAGAGACAGGAGGATCAGGAATTCAATGTCATCTCCAGCTATCTAGACATTCCAGGTCAAGCCTGGGACACAGACCCCATTTCAAGAAGAAGTCAAGAAGACGAGGAAGAGGAGGGAAAAGAGCAAGAACATATTTGACTACCAGGGCCCAGTGGCACCTTCTTCTAATCCCAGTACTCTGGAATCTAAAGTAGGAAGACCTTGAAGTCTAGGCTATGTGGACTCCAATAATAAGCCTGTTTTGATTTCTGTTTTGTTTTGAGGCAGTATTTCTCTATGTAGTCCTGACTCTCCTGGAACTTACTCTGTAGACCAGACTGGCCTCAACTCAGAGGTCTGCCTGCCTCTGTTTTCTGAGTGCTGGGATTAAAGGTATGTGCCACCACCACCTGGCAAGAGCCTGTCTTAAAAAAAAAAAAAAAGAAGATAAGGAAAACATTTGAAGAAAGATTGTAGAGACCTAGAGAGATGACTCAGGAGTTAAGAGATCCTTTTACCCCTGCAGAGGACCTGAGTTCAGTTCCCAGCACCCATGTTTAGTGGCTCACAACCATCTGTAACTCCATTTCTGGGGAGGCCCAACCCTTTCTTGCCTCTTCAGGTACCTGCATCCATGTGCACATACCTACATGCATATATATGTATGTATGTATGTATGTGTGTATGTGTGTATGTATGTATTATGCATATGTATATATATTTAAAAATAAAACAAATCTTCAAAAGAAATGCAAGGGGATAGCAGATGGCTCAGTGGTTAAGAGCCTTGTTCTTGCAGAGGACCTGGGTCTATTTCCAGCACCTGCATGGTACCTCACAACCATCCATAACTCTAGTTTCAGAGGATTCAATGTCCTTTTCTGACCTCCACGGGCATCATACATGCACATGGTGCACATACATACCTGCAGACAAAACACTAATGCACATAAAATAAAAAATAAAATAATTTAAAAAATGCAGCTGGAGGGTATGGCTTCATAATTAAGCACATGCTTAACATGTGTGAAGCCTTGGGCTCAACCCTCAGCACTGCCCACACAAAAGTATCTGTATTAAACATATATAGGTCTTTTTCAACACAATATAGTCCTGTTTATCTAGCATAAATAATTACCATATAACTGTTTATATTAAGTGTTACATTAGTACTAAATTTTTAAGTAGTCCAGAGATTATTTAATATACAGTAAGGAGTGCATAGACTATATACAAATACTCATTTTACATAAAGGACTTGAGCATCCAGGCATGTTCGATATCCACAAGGGATCCAGACCTGACCCCCTGTGGAGGGATAACTGTATGTCTTCCTTCTTCTCCACCACCTCCTGGACTGGGAAATGAATGGTCACTTGGGGAAAAGAAACAGGTCTCTAACGTCTGGAGTGCATGAAACAAGTGTTTGAGAGGTGACCCTAGAAAAGTCAAGTTAGGGCCAGATTATGGCAAGTTTCCTATTTCAGGATAAATCTTTGGAGTTTGCCTCGCAAGCAGTGGGTAGCCGTGGGGGTGTCACATCAAGGAGGAGTAGTGTGATCTGGCCAATGGTGTGTGGGTTCAAGGGGAGATCCCAAGGTTAGAACAGTTGGAGGGAGCGTGTCTATCTTGAAGTGAGCCTTGAAGGCTGATTGGATGTGTAGAAGGCTGTGCCCCTCCCATGCTTCTCTTCCAGGTGGTTCCCCGGGTGTTTGGGCGCATGGTGAGTAAGAGTCGCGAGGCAGTTGCCCAGGCCATGGTGCTGGAGATGTTCCGGGAGGAGGACTACTACAATGACGATGTTCTGGATCAGATGGGTGCCAGCATCCTGGGTGTGGAGGGCCCCCGGCGCCACCCAGATGAACCCCCTGAGGATGAGGTCTTTGAGCTCTTCCCCATGTTCATGGGGGGACTTCTCTCGGCCCACAACCGGGCAGTGCTGGCTCAGCTTGGCTGCCCCATCAAGAACCTGGATGCCCTCGAGAATGCCCAGGCTATCAAGAAGAAACTGGGAAAGCTGGGTCGGCAGGTGCTGCCCCCTTCAGAGCTTCTTGACCATCTTTTCTTCCACTATGAGTTCCAGAACCAGCGCTTCTCGGCCGAGGTGCTCCGCTCCCTGCGCCAGCTCAATTTAGCAGGTGTGCGCATGACACCCCTCAAGTGCACAGTGGTGGCCACCGTACTAGGAAGCGGAAAGCACCCTCTGGATGAGGTGAACTTGGCTTCCTGCCAGCTGGATCCTGCTGGGCTACACACTCTCATGCCTGTCTTCCTGCGTGCTCGGAAACTGGGGTGAGGACTAATCCTCAAGTACAGGAAGGAAGGGAAGAGGAGCTTGGATAGGAAGCCGGGAAGCCTAGGTGCTAGGGAGGCCAAAGGAATGAAGAAGGGCAGGGGATGTGTATGAATCTGCTTTCTGTTGCTATAAGAGTACCTAAAGCTAGGCCTAAGCCCTGGCATTCAAAAAACTGGGACAGGAGGAGTGCTGTGAGTTTGAGTTCAGCTTGAGCTACACTGTGAGTTCCAGGCCAGCCAGGTCTACATAAGACCCTGTCTCTTGGAGCTGGAGAGATGACTCAGTAGTTAAGAGCACTGACTGCTCTTCTAGAGGTCCTGAGTTCAGTTCCCAGCACCCACATGGTGGTCCTCTTCAGACATAAAGGCTCTAGAGGTCCTGAGTTCAGTTCCCAGCACCCACATGGTGGTCCTCTTCAGACATAAAGGCTCTAGAGGTCCTGAGTTCAGTTCCCAGCACCCACATGGTGGTGGTCCTCTTCAGGCATAAAGGCATATGTGAAGACAGAGCACTCATATATACATAAAATAAATAAATAAATCTTTAAAATAAAAAGACTTTGTCTCAAGAAGGAGAAGGAGAGAGGAGTTTATAGTTTTGGAGGCTGAAAGGCTATGCATGGGTTCATCTTCTGGTAAAGACGCCTGAGGCTGCATTTCAACATGGCAGAGGAACAGAGAAGGAAACAGCTGTGTGTAGATAAGGCCAGGCACACGGAGAAGGCTTGCTGGACAACAACCCTCTGTGATGGGAACCAGCACCCTCCAAGTGTGGCTAATCCACTCCAAGAGCAGATCCCCTTCCTGCTCCTCAGAACAGGCTCCCTCTCTCAAGGCTCTTCCTTCCTTCAATACAACCACCAACCTCCAACTCATGTCCCTTGACTTAGCAGACCCCAGCAGGGTGGGATAGAGACGGTGTGGGCAGAGGTGACAGGAGCAGCATGAGGGAAGACAAGTATTGATGGCAGGAAGCAGGCTGGCGAGGGATGGGCACAGTCCTTAGGAGGACCCCGTGCTAAATGGCATTCTCGTTCTCTTGCCTCTCCTCTGGCTACCTTCTCTTCCAGGTTGCAACTCAACAGCCTGGGCCCTGAGGCCTGCAGGAACCTTCGAGACCTGTTGCTACACAGCCAGTGCCAGATCACCACTCTGCGGTGAGCGTCCTAGCAGGGGCCTGATGGGAGGGTCTGGCTCTTCTGTTGGCCTCGGACATGGAGAGCACCCTGCCTTACAACATGGCTGGCACAGGCCTACCCTGGCTCCAGAAAATGGGTGGTCTGGGTCCTGGCTAGCTCCCTGTCCAGGTCTATTACAAGCATCAGAAAGGAACAAGGTACTGTTGGCCCATGTCCTTAACCCCAGCACTCAGGAGGCAGACAGGCAGATCTCTGAGTTCAAGGCTAGCTTGGTCTATGGAGCATTTTCTGCAGGATCTACAGGACAGTCGGGGCTACACAGACAAACTCTGTTTCACCCAAACAAACAAACAAATATAAAGAAAGTAGCAAGGAAGACACCAGGGGTGGGTGATAAGAAAGCCTTTCTCCTGGCTAATATTAGCCTGGGGGACAGGAAAGCTGCAGTAATTCCTGGGCCAGTTGCCTGGCAACAGAGTCACTGTTCCCTGCAGACTCACCATCATGCTGGATACTCTCTAGCTGCTCACAAGATGTTGGCTGATTTCCTAGGAACCCAGATGCCTGGGGGTCCTGGTTTCTGATGAGAATCAGGAAAGTTGAATGAGGAAGAAGAAAGGAGGGCTGGAGGGGGCTCCTGGTGAGGTGGCTCAGAAGGTAAAGGGGGTTGCTGCCAAGCCTGACAAACTGAGTTTGATCCCCAGAACCTACAAGTTAGTTGGAAGGAAAGACTGATTCTCACAAGTTGTCCTCTGATCTCCATAGCCTCTTCCCTCACCTCACAACTACAGGCACACATGCACAAAATAAGTAATTTTCTTTTTTTTAATAAAAACGGGGGTGGGGGCAGGGCGCAGAAAGGTGGTGGAATTAGAGAGCATGGAGGACCAGAGACTGGGGAGGCAGTAAAGGAAGGTGTAAGAAGGGGACTAATGAGAAACGGGGTGGGGGGTCAGGAAGCAAGAGAAATGGAAAGGAGATGAGGAGACACTGCTTTCCCTCACTCCCCTCCTGGGCAGGAACCGCTCTCATTTCACTGTCCCTTCTCCTGGACCTCAATTCTGGGTCCAGGCTGGCCTCCAACCCAGGTGTGCCCCCTTTGGCCAAAATCCTAACACCCAGCTTGGACATCTGTAATGCCCCCGACCCTTGCCTTGCTTATGGCCCTTAGGCTGTCCAACAACCCACTGACAGCAGCAGGAGTTGCCTTACTGATGGAGGGGCTGGCAGGAAACACCTCGCTGACACACCTGTCCTTGCTGCACACTGACCTTGGAGACAAGGGGCTGGAGCTGCTGGCTGCCCAGCTGGACCGCAACAAGCAGTTGCAGGAACTGAACGTGGCCTACAATGGTGCTGGTGATGCAGCAGCCCTGGCCTTGGCTAAGGCTGCTCGGGAGCACCCTTCTCTGGAGCTGCTGCAGTAAGTCCTGGGCTGGTCTCATGCCCCATGCCCAACCCTGGCTTTTCCCTCTCTTCACTATGTTCTTCCTACCGAGGGGTTGCTCTGGACTTGAGCCTGCTGTCTATGTTCCCTTTCTTAACCTGGTTTACACAGAGCTGAGCTCACCCAAGTCCGCTGTGATTGTCCCTTAACCTGCTCCAATTCCCTGCCACCATTTCTAAATGTTTCCATCGGCTTCTACCTCTGTCCCTGCCTTATTGCAGATTCTTTTTGTGATGCTAGGGAGTGAATCTAGGGCTCTGTGTGTACTAAGCACTCTAGTACCCGAGCTACATCTCCAGCTCTTATTTCAGAAGCTTGGTCCCTCCCACTCAGCAGCCTGAAGGGCTGTCTATCCACCTTGGGCCTTCTCAAAACTCCAGTGAATAACATCCTTCCATCTCTTCCCTGCCAGCCTCTACTTCAATGAGCTGAGTTCAGAGGGCCGCCAGGTCCTGCGGGACTTGGGGGACTCTGGCGACTCTGGCGAAGGTGGTGCACGGGTTGTGGCCTCGCTGACAGAAGGAACAGCAGTCTCTGAGTACTGGTCAGTGATCCTTAGTGAAGTTCAGCGCAACCTCAACAGCTGGGACCCGGCCCGGGTCCAGAGCCATCTCAAGCTGTTGCTTCGGGATCTGGAAGATAGCCGAGGCGCCACCCTTAATCCTTGGCGCAAGGCTCAGCTGCTTCGAGTGGAGAGCGAGGTCAAGACCCTTCTGGAGCAGCTGGGAGGCTCTGGATGCTGAGACAGTGACAGCTGCAACCTAGCTGTGGGATCATTTGTCCCCAAACCTTTCCCTCTATGGTTTCCTGGTATTCACAACTCCTTTCAGAAAGATCTGCAGGCAAAGCAATGCCCATAACTGTGCTGCCCCAACCCACAAGTCCAGCTGGGACCTCAAGCTAGACTTCACAAGGTCGAATATGATGAATTGATGCTTGAACTTGGATACTGAGCATGTCACCTTTTTTTTTTTTTTTTGTCTAGAAGTACTAAGGATATGACACATGAGTGGTCAAATTGCCTTGTGGCCTAACCATCGCTCTTGCCTCTCCCTCCTCTGAATGTGTTACCAAGTGGCACACCTCTCATGTTTGCCATGCTGGGGGTTCTGCCATCTAGCAGCTGTACTGGATGGCTTCCCATTCCTGCCTTATGCTTACCTCTGAATGCAAAATGTCTTCCCAGTGGTGCTTTCCCTAGCCTCATGTCCCCTCAACTACACAAGTATCAATGGCTCAAGCCACTAAGGACAAGTGTGCCCACCTTGCTGCTATTAAAAAGCTATGCATCTTCCACTCCCTGTGGTCTCTTCTTCCTTGCTTGGTGATCCCAAGAGAGGGTTAGTCTGGTTTACCTTCTATTGAGGATAGCTCCTGGCCACTAGACTCAGAGGCAGCAGTATTGCTGGAGTTCTAGTACCTCTATGCCTGGGCTCTGGCAGCCCTAACAAGCTGAGCTCTGTCACTCACTAATCCTCGATAAGCTATTTAAAAAGAATAATGCAAACGCAGAGAAAGGCTGGAGAGATGGTTCAGCAAACAGGTTCAGAACTCTCGCTGCTCTTCCAGAGGACAGGAGTTGAATTCCCAGCAACCACATGGTGGGGGAACTCACAACCACTTGTAACTCCAGCTCCAGGGGATTCAGCATCCTCTCCTGGCCTCTGTGGGTGACTCACACACACACACACACACACACACACACACACACACACACACACACACTTTCCTCTCTCACTCTCTCCATTCCCTGACCTTCAAAAAAAAAAAAAAAAAAAAAATTTAACCCTGACTGTCCTGGCACTTGCTCTGTAGACCAGGCTGGTCTCAAACCCACAGAAATCTGCCTGCCTCTGTCTCCCAAGTGCTGGGATTAAAGGTGTGTACCACCACCTCCAGGCTATAAATGAATAATTTTTTTTAACTTAGCAAAGTGGAGAAAGGAGATTTGTCTGAGGTGGCTCATCAGGGAGAGGTCCAGTGACCCCTCACCCCCAGCTCATCTTTCAGGGTCCTGACCTGGGGTTAGATTTAAATAGAGTAGAAGGTAAGAGGTATGCCTACTAAGCAGTCCTGTCACGGTGTGGTCTCGAACCAATGTTCATTGACTCTGTTCCAGTCTGTCCCTTGAAGTGATCTGACAAATTATCAGAACTCTGTGACATCTCTTCTTAGAAGACAAATTCTGGCTGGCACCAAGGAGAGCTTTATCTTTTTTCTGTTTTTCAGTTTAAGATTCCTGGAGAAATTCCGATTCTTTGGGATTCATTGTTTGAATAGTCTGATAGCCAAAGGGAGAGGCACAAATATCTTTAGATAATTTTGTTGCTGGAGGGGCTGCATGTAAGACCCTGGGATGAGGTTGTCCATGCTGGGCCTTAGAATTCCTGTCCCCCTTTTCATACTTACTGTCCCCAGCTTGGAATTCCAATGACCAGTGATCTACTTTTTTCTGGGCACAAGAACAGTTGGGATCATTAGAGGCTCTCTTGAGAAAGATAGGGCCCAGGATTTAGAGCAGAGGGAACATAGACATACACTTTCCAGAGAATAAGTCCCATTGCTGTTAACCATTACCCTATTGCTTCCTTGCAGGTTTTCAAGGAGGCGTGACTCGGGAGGGGGCAGGTGGGAGGGTCAGCTGGTTATAATGAACCTTGTCCCTACTCTAAGTCCTGGGTCACTGATCCAACTATGGAGGCAACTGCAGGTAGGAGGTGGGGAGATATCCTTGAAAGGGGACTTTGGGCAGCAGCAGAGGGGACAGATTTGGAATCTTTGGGTCTAGAACACACTTGATATTAGGGCTTGTAGGTCTGAGGCAATAGATAGCGCTAAACGGGAGTGAGGTGAGTGTGTGCGCCTATCTTCCTGGTCCACACCCTGCGCGGATAGTCTCAGATTTATGTGCCACAGAACTGGGGAAGGGAAATAAAGGGGAGTCAACATTCCTGCGTGTGAAGATAATGGAGCAGAATGGGAGGGGTCTAGGGTTCCTGAGCCCTTTCAGGTTTTTACTATGGAAGTCCCATCTCGGGGAGGAGTGCGTCTCTATTCTAACTCTCTCTTGTCCAGCAGATACTCGAGACACAGCCTCGTTAACTCTGTAAGTTATGAGGGTTGAAGAAGATCGAAGGTTGGGGGTGGAGCTCTCAGCTCTCATCAGCACCTCAAGTAGGACCTGGGACCCCCAGTCTAGCTACATACTTCTCTTACTTGCCTCTCTCTGCTGCCTCCTTACAGGAAGTTTAAGTTTAATCCAAGGCTGGGCATTGACAATCCCGTTCTCTCCCTGGCTGAAGACCAGGACCAATCTGGTAACCCCCTCACCCCTGGCAACCATTACCTTTCCCTAGAGATAGTACAGCACCACACAGCCTCCTATCACCTTGGTAACCACTAACTGCCTCCCTCTGATATCAGTAACTAAGCAGAGGTAGAGGGAGGCAGCTCACCCTTTGTGTTAGCCACCCGGTCCATGAAGTATCCATTTGGCTCTAAAGCCCACCTTCTCACTGGTTGGAAGCTGCCCAGTGCTCTGACAGGAGGTGGGGCTACCAGTCATCTGATGGTCCCATACTTGGACTGTGTGCCCCTCTTTTTTTTTTTTTTTTTTTTTTTTTCCGAACTATCTTCTCCTCCAGATCCCTGGAACCTGCAGCGGCCTCGCTTCTGTCTGCTGAGCAAAGAGGAGAAAACGAGTTTTGGGTTCCATCTGCAGCAGCAGCTGGGCAAGGCTGACTATGTGGTGTGCAGGGTAGATCCAGGCACTTCTGCCCAGCGCCATGGTCTCCGGGTAGGAGACCGGATCCTAGCGGTGAACAATAACAATGTGGAACATGAGGACTATGCAATGGTGAGGCTGAGCTGGGACTCCTTGTATACAAAAGGAACATCCCATAGCACTTCCATAGGAAGAGGAGCCAACACTAACTAGCCTAGGCACTCTGATGCATCGGCCATGCCTCACTCTCCCTAGAACCCATGATTTGGAGGTACCCAGCTAGAGAGTGACTTGATAAAGGCACCTATAGAACTGGTTTCTACAGTGACAATGCAAGTTATAAGGGGTCCTGGGACTCCACCAGGAGGCCAACCTCTTTTGCTTCCCCCCCATCCTTTTATAGGTAGTGCGCTACATCCGGGCCAGCGGCCCCCGGGTGTTGCTGACTGTCCTAGCACAACAAGTGCATGATGTGGTGCGTGCTCAGCAGGGGAGCGATGTCCTCTGTTGTCCGTCCCTAGGCTCTGAGGTCAGGCCCCGGTTGTGCCACGTAGTGAAAGACGAAGGTGGCTTTGGTTTCAGCATCACCCATGGTGAGCTTAGGGCCTGAGGTGGGGTGGTCAGGGATGGGGACTCAGCCTCTGTTCTAGGCAAGGAGCAGACTGGGAGTTACTTTGTCTGCCTTTAGGAAATCGGGGTCCTTTCTGGCTTGTGCTCAGTGCTGGAGGAGCTGCTGAGAGGGCAGGGGTGCCCCCTGGGGCCCGGCTGCTAGAAGTGAATGGGGTCTGTGTGGAGAAGTTCACTTCCAGCCAGCTCAGTAGGAAGGTAAGGCTTCCTGTGGTGGCTGCTATGTGAACCCTGCCTCCGGATCTGAGGGTCTGTGTATGTCACCCTTCTTTTTTATTCTCTACAGTTTGTGTGGGCCTGGGGGGAGGTATTGAGGAGATATCTGCCTCTCCATCCCCACATGGATGGTTCATGCTTATATACTTGCTGGGTCCCCACAGCTTTTGCAGAGTGGAGATCAGGTGACTCTGCTGGTGGCAGGGCCGGAGGTAGAGGAACAGTGTCATCAACTGGGAATGCCTCTTGCTGCACCCCTGGCAGAGGGCTGGGCACTGCCTGCCAAGCCCCGCTGTCTAAACATAGAGAAAGGGCCTCAAGGCTTTGGGTTCCTGCTCCGGGAGGAGAAGGGCTTGGATGGTCGCCTTGGTGAGTGGCAGCCCCAGAGGGCAGGGGTAGGAAGTGGGCCTTAGGATGGTCATACACATCCAGTTGCATGCTTCTCAGTGTCCATGGGAGGTGCTCCAGTCTGAGCTACAGCTCTTGAGCATCCCCCCATGTACTGCAGGGTTAGTCCCTGGGAGAGCATGGGGGTAAGTCAGGGAGGAGAAGTAAATGTGTCTATGTCCCAGGGCAGTTCTTGTGGGAAGTGGATCCAGGACTGCCAGCTGACAAGGCTGGGATGAAGGCTGGGGACCGCCTGGTGGCTGTGGCTGGGGAGAGCGTGGACGGGTTGGGCCATGAGGAAACCGTGTCCAGGATCCGAGCACAGGGCTCTTTCGTCTCCCTCATTGTCGTCGATCCTGAGGCTGACCGCTTCTTCAGCATGGTGCGCAAGTGACAGGGTTAGGGAGGGGTAGGAATGGAGCAGGGCTCAGGTGCCTCAGCTTTGCTCTCTCTGCCCCACACCCAGGTACGGCTGTCTCCCCTCCTATTCTTGGAGAACACAGAGATGGCTGCCTCCCCTCTGGCAGAAACCAAGGATCTTCCAGTTGAAGATGCAATTGAACCTTCTGGCACTGTTGACTCCCGCCAATGCTTCTTGTACCCTGGGCCCGGAGGTGGCTATGGATTCAGACTCTGTTGTGTGGCCAGTGAGCCTCGTCTCTTCATCTCCCAGGTGACTGATGCCCACACACCTTGGCTTCTTTCCATCATTTATCCCTACCTTCCACTGCCCACCAGCCTTAGAACATTTGACCAGTGTTTCTGTGTGTCTTCCCTGTACTGCCAGGTGACCCCAGGAGGCTCAGCTGCCCGAGCAGGGCTACAAATGGGAGATGCAGTTTTGGAGGTGAACGGATATCCTGTGGGTGGTGACACTGACCTGAACAGGCTTCAGCAGCTGGCTGAGGCCGAGCCACCCCTCTGCTTGAAGCTGGCAGCTAGGAATCCACAGGGCTTAGAAGCCTGGATTTCCTCGGAGTCTGGAAAGGTGAAGTCAAACAAATAGATGGAGTTATGAAAAGGACAGAGAGGAGGGTTGTTGGGTAGAGCTGTGTGGGATGTGTATGGGGGAACTGTAGGTCATAGGAGGTGGGGACGGAGGACCCATCAAACAAGTCCCATTCCTGGGCAGTCAGAACATGTTGGAGCAGGAAAATGAAATCTTCTGGTTCCAAACTGACTCTGTCCTTCTCTCCGTGTAGGGCTGGACCCTGGCCTCAGAGTTGCTATAGGATACACCTGTTTGGCACAGACTTGCCTAGTGGTTTTCCTGCCCTTGCTCCTGCACCCTGAGGTGGAGGGAGCTAGGAATGGTGTCTCCAAACTGGAAGTGGGAGCTGGAAGATTCAGACACCAATGACCACATGACTGCCAGGGACCTTCTTCCCTTCTCACAAGCCTACCTCCAGCAGAGGGGTGAGGACAGAGGCCCCATGAGGGACCCCAAGTCTACACAGGATGTTCTGTAGACGTTCTGAGGACCTGTGTTACAAAGATGAATTTCTTCTGCCCAAAGAGGTGATGCTGTGGAGATATTTAGGATTGAAGCCATTGAGAACTTAAGCTAACTGTGATTCCAGAATTTTATGGCATGAGGATTTGGAGATCAGCCATATTTCCCTTCTGTGGACACCTTAGAAACTTGGAGCTGGGCGTTGGTGAAACATGCCTTTAATCCTACCACTCGGGAGGCAGAGGCAAGTGGATCTTTGTGACTTCAAGGTCAGCCTGGTCTACAAGAGCAAGTTCTAGGACAGGCTCCAAAGCTACAGAAAAACCCTGATTTATAAAACCAAAAAGAAAGGAAAGAGGAAGGAAGAAAGAAAGTTGGGAAAGTTGGGAGCTGGTTCCAGGCCACTGTAATGTCCCATTATAACCTTTCCCAGTGGGCCAGTGAGATGGCTCAGGTGGTAAAGGTGCTTGCTGCTAAGCCTGACAATCTTAGTTCAATCCTCAGAACCCTGTAGTAGAAGAAGAGAACCAATTCCTGGAAGTTGTCCTCTAGCCTCTATATGAACAACTTAGTATGCCACTGTCCAAATAAATAAGTAAATATAGTCTTTCCATAGACATCTGGCTTTGTGTTTTTGTTGGTGAGGATAAGCCATGGTAGTTTAAAGGAACCAAAGGTGCTCCAGGCTTAAGGGGATGGGATCTAGTTTCTGTAGGAGAGGGATTAGAACCTTGTCTATTTCTTATTGTTCAGTGTTTAGGACACTAAGACAATGGGTTAACCCACAATATAGATGTCCCCACGAGAGCCATTCCTCATTGCCAAAGGACACAACCCACACTTCTGTTGAATTCTACACCAAGTTGCTTTATTGCTAGGCCTCAGAGATTAGAGGGCAATGGCCTCAAAGTTCCAGGGGGTTGAGGGCAAATTGACGTAGCTGCTCCTTGTGCCTGGTGTGAAGTCTCAGCACAGCTGCATCCCACTGAGGCTTGGTGGCTCTCAGCTTGGCCAAGAGACAGTCCAGGCTGCCCTGTGAACACAAAACTCTCAGCTCCCAGGAAAAGAGGGAAGGGCCAATGTTGCATTAGGTTGCCCAGCTTGGTTAGGAATAGTTATTTGACAATGGCCTCCTTTTCTTTTCTTCCTTCCTTTCTTCTGTAAGGCACCCTTGCTTTGTAGTCCTGGCTGGCTTTGTACTCAGATCTCCTGCTTTAGCTTCCCAAGTGCTGAATTGCAACCATTCCTGGCTTCCCATTGTTCTCTCTCTCTTCAGCACTCAGGATGTAACTAAGGCCTCACACATGCTAGACAAGCACCCTGTCCACTGAGCTGTTCATCAATCCCTCTTTTTACCTTTTATTTTGAGGCAGAGTCTTTTACTATACTGCCTTTGCTGGCCTTGAACTCTGTACCTAGCTTGGCCTTGGACCTATGATCCTCCTGTCTCAGCTTCCTGAATAGTACCATTGCAAACTTGTGCCATTCCTTTCTTTCCCTGCTCCTTCTTCTCCGCACTCCTCTTCCTGTCCCCCCAACCTTTGTTGGGGTGGTTGAACCCATGCATACTAGGCTAGAGCTCTACTATTGCCCTATCCCTACAGCCCCTGATTATTTTGATCTGATTCTCACTACGCAACAGCTACGAAGTACATTGTGGCCAATGTTGACCTTGAACTCAAAATCTTCCTGCCTTAGCCACCAAAGTACTGGGTAAGTCACTGGCTCTGTCAATGGTTGCATCTTCCTTTTACACTTAGAATAGAACATGGCTCCCTTAGGTTGTGGGTCATCACACTAGTTGGGAGCATAGGGGTGGAGGGTTATGGGATTCTGAGAAGATGGCTTCCAGGGAGTAGTGCTTACATGCAAGATTTCCTCATATTCGGCCTCCATGTTTGCCACGTGGGCACGAAGCTGAGCCAGGGTTTCATCTTGCTCTCTGAGGGCTTGCTCAGTCTCTTCCCTTGCTGCCTTAGCCTCCCTTTGGCATGTTTCTAGGGAGCAGGGCAGAGTGATAAAGAAGACAGGATGGTGTCTCTACACTAGGAGCACTAACCAACTTTGGCAGGGTCGTTACAGACTTCCAGGGTCACCAACTTTCCAAAGTCTCTATAAAACATTGCAAGACAGATCTTCTCTATCTCCCAGGGTTAAGATTATAGACTTGTGCCAACTAACATGGTGCAGTTTCTCTATACATCTTTTTATTTAATTTTATATCTGGGTTTTAAAAATAACTTTATTGGGCTGGAGAGATGTCTCAGAACACTGACTACTTTTCCAAAGGTCCTGAGATCAACTCCTAGCAACGTCATGGTGGTTCACAACCATCTATAATGAGATCTGGTGCCCTCTTCTGGTGTGCAGGCATACATGGGCAGAACTCCATACATAATAAATAAATAAATCTCTGAAAAATAATTTTATCCACGTCCCCCCATGTGTCTATGTGTGTACCTGTATGCAGGTGCCTGTGGAGAGCAGAAGAGGGAATTATATCGGATCCTCAGAAACTGGAATTATAACGGTTCTGAGTCACCATGTGGGTGCTGGGAATCAAAGCCAGACACTCAGGAAGGGCAGCCAGTGTTTGTAATGGTTAAACCTTCTCTAGCCCCTCCCTGCTTTACCTTTGGAGAGAAAGTGATTTAGGCTCCTCTTGTTTGCTGTGACCCTAAAATGTGAAAATGGATGACATAGCACCTAATGTGGCGGGGGTGCAGTAAATGTTGAGTTTTAGTCTGAAAGAAGGCTAGAGTTGGGTTAGAGATGAAGCCCTGGCCTGTATAAGCAGCTCATGAATATTTATAGAAAAACTGAAGATATTTTGGATGTGATAGCTCACACCTGTAATCCCACAACTCAGGAGACTGAGGCTGGAGGATCACTGTGAGTTCAAGTCTACCTTGGGCTTTTTGAGGAAGAAGACTTCAGGAGGCGGCAGGAGCAATGCTCAGTTGTTAAGAGCTCTGGCGGCAGCTCTTGCAGAGGACCCAGTTTTCGTTCCCAGTGACTCAGAATCATCCTTAACTCCAGTTCCAGGGGATCTGATGCCCTCTTCTGACCTGTCTTCCTATATGAATGGCCTATTCACCGATTTAACAAGTAGTAATTTAAGGCCTTCTACCAGGTGCCCAGCTTTAAAGATACTGAAGTAAATTAAGTCTACTGCTTTCTGTAGTTTGGTTGCAAAAGTCAGCTAAACTAATAAGAAATGTGTTTTGTTTAAGACAGACAAGTCAGTGAAGGGGTAACTGATGTGCAAAGGGGGGAAGGGGATGATAGTCCTACCTTTTCTTTACTTCTATCTTAGATGGCTTTTTAAAAATTTTTTTTGAAGAGTTATTTATTTTGTTATTTTATGTGTATGAGTGCTTTGCCTGCACCATGTGGATGTCTGTGGAGATCAGAAAAGAGCATTAGATCTCCTAGGGATTGGGTTACAGATGGTTTGTGAGCCACTATGAGGGTGCTGGCTCAGGTTCTCTGTAAGAACAAGTGCTCTTAACTGCTGAGCCAACTCCCTGAGAAGCCAAGTCCAGCCCCTGGCATAGGGGTTTGTGCCACTGAACTCTAAGTTCAGAGGAAGGCTAGGGTGAAGGTGACCCTAGTTAAAATTCAACCAGAAGATTGTAATTGTAGACATCTAGTGAAGGACCTCCCAAGTCCACTCTTCCATGATTGTTCATGAGCCTGGGGAAAAGGGGTGAGCAACGGGGACTACCTAGCTGTTCCTGTAGGCCTCTCACTTTCTCCTCCAGCTGCTTGCTTTGGGTCCTCAACTCCTCTTGCAGGGCCCGACGCTGGCGGCTCATCTCTGAGGTATGAGCCATAGGGATGGAGGCATGAAGAAAGGAAATGAGGTTGAATGTGGGGGAGAGTCTCACTCAAGGAACAGAACTAAGAAACTTGGGAGACCTTAAGGTTTGGGAGATCGGAAACCACACCCTTCCCCCCTACCCTCCACACCAGCACTCACTCCCAAAAATAAAGATAAAGGGCAGTGGCTGCATTATGTTTCACACAGATAGCAAGCATGCAGCATTAGACACTCTAGAATGTGGTAATCCGCATTCTACCAGGGATCTGTCTTTGGTTCTCAGGACCCTGCCTATTCAGGGACAGCGGAGTAGGGTATGGCAGTTAGAATTCCTCTTCATTTCTCTTCCTTGAATTGCCCAACTTCCTTGGTTGCCCTCTTCTATGCCCCTGTGTCCTGCCCACAGGGCCAGACAAATCATACCTGCATATACAGCCTTCCCTTCGCTTTGGGCCCGTTCCAGTTCAGCTTCCAGCCCTTGCAACCTCTGCTTCAGCCTGTCTTCAGAAGCCTTGGCTCTGCGGGTCTCATCCCTCTGGAGAGCTGTGGGCAGTGTCAGAGCCATGCTCAGGTCTGGACTGTGGGTCCCACAGAACCAATCACTGTAGCCTCTGTGAGCTATGCTTACCTCTGGGAACTTAGTGACAGGTGTCAATTTCTTATACTCTTTATTAGTTGCCCTATCCAAAACCCATAGGGTTTTCATTCCTAACTCACTATTTCCTCTTTGTTCTGGCCACTAAAAGACAATGGCTTTCCCAAGTTGTGATTCCACTCCCAATGCTGGAGGTGGAGGGGAGGATAGCTTCTTTCATTGATCTTCACTGCCTAGCCCTTCCTCACAATCTTGTGAACAGGCAATGGCTAGCTCGATTTAGCCCTGCACACAGTTCAAACTTCCAGTTCCCCAAGAACCCAGAAAGGTCCTATGTGCCATCCATTGGGTGGCTAGTTTATTGTCAACTTGACATAAGCTAGAGCCATCAGAGAAGAGGGAGCCTCAACTGAGAAAATGTCTCCATAAAATCGGGCTGTAGGCAAGCCTTTACGGCATTTTCTTAATTAGTGATTAATGGGGAGGGCCTGCCCACTGTGGATGGTGCCACCCCTGAGCTGGTGGTCCTGCATTCTATAAGAAAGCAGGCTGAGCAAGCCAGTAAGCAGCATCCTCCATGACCACTGCATCAGTTCTTGCTTCCAAGTTCCTGCCCTGTTTGATTCCTATCCTGACTTCAATAATAAACAGTGATTTGAAAGCATAAGCCAAATAAACCCTTTCCTCCCCAAGTTGATTTGGTCATGATGTTTCATCACAGTAACGACAACCCTAACAAGAACATTTTATCTCTGCGGTCTCCTGAGGCTTCAAACTTCTTACCTAAGTGGTCCTGAAGCAGCTCCTTCTCCAGCAGGACCAGCCTATGCTTGGCCTCAGACTCTGCATCTGTCCTGGCAAGATGATAGTCTTAGGTTATCCTTATCTTGGTCCCACCCCAGTGTTCCTACCACCTGCACTTCTTCTTGCGTCATGGAGGAAGGTCGCTGGATGAGGGATGCCCAATGGCAAATCTGGTAAATTTACAGTTGAGTGGCTGAGTCTTCACTGCCATGTGAATGGTGGGTGCTCAAAATAAGGATGAAAAGTATGTCGAGGGCAAAGAGCTAGATGGGGCTCCAGGGGGAATTTGGGAGAGAGGCATTCCCCATTTCCTAGGCCCCATGGAATCTGGTCTCAAGGCTCTGAAGAGAAGGGCAAGGACACTTCACCCTAGCCAAGTGTGGTGGCAACGCCTGTAATCCCGTCACTAAGAAGACTGGGGCAGAGGATATGTTTGAGGCCAGCCTGGGTCCCATAGTGACCCTGTGTCAAAAGAACAAAAGACAAAACCAAAACAAATCCACTCCATGTTGTTGCCCAGAGGGCTGGGTTCCTTCCGAGGACCTTTATGTCTCAGGTACACCCCGTGACTCACCAGGACTGGAATTTTTTTTCTTCTTTTGTGCCCCAGTTTTCCTCCCCTTTCCTTTGGTTTTAGGCGGCATCCTTGCTGTCCTGGGGGAGGGAAGACTTTCTGTGCAGGTCTGCATACAGAGATGCTCTCCTGGCTCCTGACAGAGGTAGGAGTCTCAGGACAGTCAGAATGCTAATCTCCCAGTGATCTCACACTTTATAGAAGCTTTGGTTCTTGGTCTCCTGGGAACCCCAGGCAGGGCTGGGAGGTAGAACAATTCTATGGGCAGCAGTGTCAGCCCTCTTAGAGAACATAAATCTCTAGACCTGGTCCCTTCTCTCTCCCCAGCATGCTTACTCTCCCTTTCCTACCTGGAGGACCTTCTCTTGCTTGTGTGCTGTCTCCCTGGGGAATGACACTCCATGGGGGAAGGTAAAGAGTGTCCCAAGCAGACTGAACCTAGGGAGGAGCCTGGGTCCTGAGAGCCAATCGAGGGTGGAGAAGCTTCCCCAAGAGGCAGGAGCAAGAACTGGGATGATGGATTTCTGGAGACTGCCTGCTGTCCAGGCAACCATGAAACACTGTGTTCATAGGCAGGTAGGATAGGCCAAACTGGCTCACACAAAGTTCCTTTAGGTAGATTCTCCTCTTACCCCCAAAGAAAAGACCCTAAAGAAAAGGCCTTGGAGCTGCATAGCTATTATTCATGTCTACACAGGCCCTGCCTATCATCTGGATACTTTGCAGCCTAGAAATCTAGTGCTTCCCAGATGTAGAGGAAAGGCAGGGAGAGTAGCCATCACAGGCACTTTACATCCCATTGTCTCATGGACACAGTGACATGATTTACTTTGGAACTTGAGATCTGCTTCAGAAAGGCTATCTGTGGCTTTGTGTAGGAAACTCATGCTGGCACAGGTAGTTGAGAGAGTTTTCCACTTAAGAGAAATGAGAACAGAGAAGAAAGAGGTGGAGCCACACATAAGGCAGAGTCAGGAATTGAAGTATTTGATTTTGCTCAGCTTGGATTTCTTGGTGTATAAGTTTTGTAGTTCCTGAAAGCCCTAGACCTCGGTGGTGTGTTCCCAGGTCTTCTTTCTCTCCCAGTTAACTATTGTCTCACTCCCCCATTTCTTTATGGGGTTAATCTGCAGACAGGTGTTTAGAGGCCCCCCAAGTCCCTGAAGCATAGAGTTGGTTAGCACTCCCTCTAGTGGACTTGCTTTGACCGGAGTCTCCTAAATTTTGCAGTTTATTATTTCTTAAACAATATTGGGGAAGATTCTCTTTGGGGGATGCTTTCTAGCATCTTGTGTGTGATTTTAAAAAATTGATTGTGGGCATAGAGTATGATGGGTAGCTTGCTATTGCCTCCTCCATCTGGGAGGGCTCCATCTTGGAACCATGCCATCACTGGGCATCACAAGGGCACCATACATAGAATGAAACAGCAAGCCTTCCTCCCCGTAGGATCTACAGACTCCTTTTAGGCACTTCTGTCTATTCTAGTCCCTTAAATTTTGGTCAACTGCATATTATTGGAAGCAAATCTGCAGAAACAGGTACAAGATGTGGGAGGAAAATGTCTCACCCGTGAGGAACAAGCAGAAGGTCTATGTAACCCCATGGCAGATATCTTAGAAAAGATTTTTAATTTTTAACTATGCTATATTTGTGTGGGTTTGTGCATGTGAGTGCAGTACCCAAAGAAGCTAGAAGAGAGCATTGGAGAGCCTAGAGTTGGAGTTAGGCTCTTGTGGGCAGCCCATCAGTGTGGTTGGTGCTAGGAACCAAACTGAGGGGCTCTGCATGAGCAGTACTTGCTCTTCACATGGAACCACGTCTCCAGACATCACTGCACATTTCATAGAGGAAAGAGAGGGGTCAGACTGGTCTCTGTGGTGATTGCAACCCATGGAACTTGGGGCTGGTGAGCCTTGTGCACACTTCCTTCCCGGACTCTTTCTTCTCATTTCCCACCATGTTTTCATTTATTCCTCTCCCTGTGCTAGCATGCATGGGAGCTCCTGCCCTTCCCTTTGCTTCAGGAGTGTGTTTGGGACTTCTTCCACTGGGTCACTGTGTCACTCATGTTGGTGATTGGAACGACACATTGAGGACAGAAGTGACGGAGTACAAGCAATACCTCAGGCTTTACGAGAGCATTTGTCTTACAGATATGTTCAGTCAACTGACTTTCAGGTGCAGAGTCAGGATGTGGTTTGAGGTCAAGGTGAAGTGAAGTAAAAGAGAGTGCCACCTGTCATGTGATGAACTGGCCCCAACGTAACCCAGAATAGGGATGGCATTGTGTTCAGCATTCCACCCCCATTGCTAGAACATATTCAGAAAATAAATAAAATAAAAATAAATATTTACAAATAAAACTGTGAGTAAAAGGTCCTCCTTTTTTTATTGACTTCAGCATAGAATCAAGAAATAGAAAGATAATTTTAGTAGACCTATCTCTTTTCTGTTAAAATTTTTGTGGGAACTGGAGAGATGGCTCAGAATTTAAGGACACTAGCTGCTCTTCCAGGAGACTCACTCATGTGCACACACTTAGGCAGATTATTTAAATTAATAAACACAAATATTTTTGTTTTTTGAGACAGGTTTCTCTGTATTGCTTTGGAGCCTGTCCTGGAATTCCCTCTGTAAACCAGGCTGGCCTTAAACTTATAGAGATCTCCCTGCCTCTGCCTCCCAAGTGCTGGAACTAAAGGCAAGCTTACTGTTTAGCCTGGCTGGTCTGGAGCTCACTATGTACATTAGGTTGGCCTCAAACTACCTCTGCCTCTTGAGGGTTGGAATTAAAGGAAGGCACCACTACATCCTGATCTAGACAAGAGCTTTGAGGAGATGATAGAGAGGAAGGTCACTTGTTTTTCTTAAATATAGATTGGTTATTTATATATTAAAAGAAATATGGCTTGATCAGAGACCCAATGGCCTTGGTCCACAGCAGTTTTTTCCTACCCTTCCTAATGCTGAGACCCTTGAATGCAATTCTTCATGTTATGGTAACCTTCAACCATAAAATCATTTTCGTTACTACTTCATACCTGTAATTTTGCTACTGTTATAACTTGTAATATAAATATCTATATTTTCAGATGGTCTTAGGAGACCCCCTTGGAAAGGGTCCTTCAACCCCCAGAGAGGTCTTCACCCACAAGTTGAGAGCCACTTGCCTACAGGAACTGTGAGCTGGGCAGAATGACACACTTGTATAGTCCTAGCTACCTGGGAGGACTCTTTGGCCCAGGTATTCAGTATCAGCCTGGGAAACAAAATGAGACCTGTCACCAAAAGGACAAAACAGGGGTGGGGGAGGGAAAAAGAAAGCAACAGTTGCTTAGGATGGAGGGATAATAAACATTTTTCTTGGTTGCAGTGCAGATGTCTCTGCACAGAAAGAGCATCACAACTAACACGGGAGAAAATCTGTTTGGATGTGACCCATGCATCCTTTTTTTGATTTTTATATGATTAAACAAGTATGTGTGAGACTCCAGGACCTGGTCTGAGGCTTATCTCCTAGGTAAGTTTAGGAGGGCAGCAAAAGCTACTTGCAATCCAGGGCAAGGCAGCTACCACCAGGAAGTGGAGAGCCTGCCTATTCCTGATGCCTAGAAGGGTCAAGAAGGGTGACTGATAAACTTGAAGGACTTGCTGGCTGAGAGGAATTGGTCTGGTAGGGTTAGTAGGAGCAGGTAGGAATTTGGGCATCGGAGAGAGTGGGCAGGGGTGGGGGTTGGGGTGGGAGGGAGGGATGGTGTGTGCGTTCTTCTGGACATGGTAGACAATTTTGCAAAGGCCTGGAGGTGTATGGCTTTCCAATCTCTAAAACTAGAAAATTGTGTCCATCTTATCTGGGCTGGATTTCGAGCTATTAAAAAGTGTAAAACATAGTATGGTTTTTCATTTCCTCTCTCTGCTTCCCTCTGGGGGAAGAGCTCCTGGGCTCTTGGCCACTTCTCTGATAGACACACGAGAGGTTAGCAGTATCCGGCTCTGAAGACAAGGATGTCACTGCTAACCCTGGGGGATGGTATAGGCATCCAGTGTTGGGTCACTGTCTTTTGTTCCTGTGATAGCTACTATGCTTTTACCAGAAAATTGGCAGGAAGGGTCAAGGTCACAGTATCATGATGGATACTCAGGTTTCTGGCAAATTCTCCACCTTTCCCATGGTTCGGGGAAAGTTGGCAGCTTTCATATAAGCCAGCAGTGACAGTTCTAGGACAGATAGACCATAGGGGTCAAATGTAGCTCTTGGTGATACTGTACATATGGGGCAGACAGAGCATGGAGGTCAAATGCAGCCCTTGGTGACACTGTGCATACAGGAAATTCTAACAAGCATGTATCAAACACAAATCAGAGTTTTGCTAGAATTTCAAAAATTGTGTCCTCCTAATGATTCAGTGCTGTAGCTTCAGTATCAATGAACTCTAACACTGTTGTATGAAATACAGCAAACAAACCAAAAAGAAAGAAATGTGGCCTGTTGCAGCAGAAACAAACTGTATGCTATATAATTCCATGCCATGTAGTCTTTCTGAGGACAATACAGATTGGAAATCTTGTGTGTATGTGTGGGTGTGTGGGTGTGTACGTGGTCTTGTGTGTGTGTGTGGTGTGTATGTGTGTCTTGTGTGTATGTGTGTATGTATGTGGTCTTGTGTGTATGTGTGGTCTTGTGTATGTGTGTGGTGTGTGTATGTGGTCTTGTGTGTATGTGTGTGTATGTGGTCATGTGTGTGTGTAGTGTGTATACGTGGTCTTGTGTATATGTGTGTATGTGGTGTGTATATGTGGTCTTGTGTGTGTGTGTGGTGTGTATATGTGGTCTTGTGTGTGTGTGGTCGTTTGTGTGTGTGTGTGTGTGTATGTGGTCTTCTGTGTGTGGGGGTGTGTGCAAATGTGCATTCAGGAATGCATGCATGTGGGTGTGTGGAGATCAACATCAAATATCTTCAATTGTTTTCCACCTTTTTTTAAAAAGATTTATTTTTATGTGCATTGGTGTTTTGCCTGCACGTGTGTCTGTGTGAGGGTGCCAGATCCCCTGGAACTGGAGTTACAGACAGTTGTGAGCTTTTATGTGGGTGCTGGGAATTGAACTCAGGTCCTCTGGAAGAGCAGCCAGTAGTGCTCTTAACTGCTGAGCCATCTCTCCAGCCTCTTCAGCCCCAGAAATGTTTTTTTTTCTTTGAGAAAAGGTCTCCCTGTAACCCTGCCTGTCCTGGAACTCACTATATAGAGCATTTTGAACTTAGAGCATCTGCCACCCAAGAACTGGGATTAAAGGACTATATCACTATTCCCAGCTTCAGACAGAAAATATTATTATTATTCTTTCATTATTTTCAAGGCAGGGTTTCTCTGTGTACCCCTGGCTGGCCTAAAACTTACTCTGTAGACCAGGCTGGCCTTAAATTCACAGAGATATGCCTGCCTCTGCCTCCGCAGTGCTGGGATTAAAGGCAAAACCACCCTCTCTAGATTGGAAATCTTAACAAATCTGGAGATATGGATTTTACATTTAGAAAAGCTCGTGAGCCCATAGGACATGGACACACACACACACACACACACACACACACACACACACACACACACACACAGAGAGAGAGAGAGAGAGAGAGAGAGAGAGAGAGAGAGAGAGAATTCCATAGGTAAATATTGTGTACTGCATTGAATCTGGGACTGAAAAATACCCTGGTGTACCCATATAATGCCAAGTACTATAGCAGATCCTATATTGGCAAGATAGTTTATAGCATGTCATGATATGACTAATGAGAGAAGTATTAGCCAGGCACACTGGTACATACTTGTAATCCTAGTACTCAGGAGGCTGAGGCAAGAGGATTTCTGTAATGAGATGAGGTCTGCCTGGGATGCACAGTGACACTCTCTCACAAAGCCAGACAAATGGGGCAGGTGATACAGCTTAGTGGACTGGTACCTGCCTAGTATATATGAGGCCTGGGTTTCAATCCCCAGAAGAAACAAGAGGCAATTAGAAATGTGAAGAACTAGCTTTCTCTGTGTGACGCTTGAGCTAGTGTCTTCCCTTTGTTTTGAGATAGGATCTCCTCTCTTCTGTCTAAACTTCAGCCTCCCAAGTTCCCAGACTGCAGGCTTGCACCAGCTTGCCCTGCCCAACTGATTTGGATCTTAGATGCACACTCTAAGCAGAGAGAATACACTCAGTGATGGTGACAAAAATGTAACTATTGTGTTTTGTGACTTGGAGAGCTATCCAGGATAGGATCAGTGTATCTTGGAGTAGTATACAACTTTAAGATTGTGACTCCTAATTTCATTACAGATGCAACAACGGGGAGGGTTTAAAAGTTTAGTTTGTGAGTGTGTGTGCTTCTGTCAGTGACAAGATGAACTGACAGTGTTAGTGAGGAAGGTTTTAACATTACAGAGAGTCAAAAGGAAGGTCAGCAACTAGGTTGGGGCACAGGCCTTACAAAGTTGTGACAATAATTTTAGGGCATTGCCTAGATTTTTCTTTGATAGATTCGTCTATTTTTTTTTTCTAGGTAGAAAATGTTAAAAGGCTTTATGCCTTTAATCCCAGCATCAGGGAGGCAGAGGCAGGAGGATCTCTGTGAGTTGGAGGTTAGCCTGGTCTACATAGTGAGTTCCAGGAGAGCCAGAGCTACAGAGTGAGACCTTGTCTTGGAAAAAACAAAAAACGACAACAACCCCCCAAACTCAAAACAAACAAAAACAAATAAACAACAAAGAGAGGAAGGAAGGAAGAAAAGAGTGATTTGCAAACCAAAGTTGTGAGACTGAATAGCTCTGGAGCTCATAGACATTTTCCTCTCTTGAAGTGCTGGATAAGCTCAACAAGCTAGTCAAGGGCTTGGTGGAAGGGAGGAGCTGAGTACTTAATGGCAAGTAAGTCCTTTGAAGCTAAAAAAAAAAAAAATTGATTGGCAAATCAAGGCAGGGCACTTCTGTCTTTGGAAAAGAAGTTCCTATTTTCAAAGTTCTTCCAATGAAGCCTTAAGATTAAGGAAGCGGAAGCGACTGGGAGCTGAATTTCTGTTCCCTGTATACAAGAACCCCTCTGACCAGCGCTCTCAGCTGCCTCAGAGGCTTTGTGGGCGGGGCCTCGTGTTGGCAGTGCATTCCGCTGAGCAGTAGAATCTTTAAATACATATTCAGTTCCCAGAAACGGAACTGCTCTACAGAAAGAAAGTTTACTTAAAAACTTAAAAGTTACTTAAAAGAAAGTTACTTGTAAAAAAAAAAAAAAAAAAAAAAAAAAAAAAAAAGGGCCTGAAAGAGCTTGAGATTTAAGTGTCCCAAGCCTTTTCTGGGGCTTAACCAGTCCGCAAAAAGCTGCAGTATCCTAATTCCCATTCGCTGCCGGTTATAAATACCCAGCACTCAGGAGGTAGAGACTTGTGAATCTCTGTGAGTTCGAGGCCTCCCTGGTCTACAACACAAATTCCAAGGCAGCCAGGGATACACGGTGAAACAAGATGGTGGAGTAGAGATATAGCTCAAGGTGGGTGGGATGCTTGTCTAGGATGTGTTAGGTGACAGGTTCAATTCCAAGCGAGTGGAGAAAGAACTTTTGGTCTTCTCCATTTTCCTACAAGATGAATACATAACTCTAAAGTCAACCTCCACATTTGTCGGGAGTGGGTAAAAGACTTGACGTTAAGACTCCTTGCATCCCTACCTGTCTTACTCGGATCATAGCTATGACTCACTCCCGGAGGCACCTAGCCCAGTCCACAAAGAACATGGACGGCAAGGCTTCTGCCTAGTGCGCAGGTTCTACCTTGGACCCCACCTCTTTCCTTCCATTCCTCGCTTCTCCAGCAGGGGGCGCAGGCACCGAGTCTCCTCTGGGCCCCGCCCCGGGTGGCCCCGCCCCGCCCCATCCCTGAGGGTAAGGGGAGGGAGCCGTGGGCGCGGAAACTTGGTCAAGGCTTTCCGGGAGCTGCTGGGCACGCGGGTGCTCGTGAGCTCGCGCGCGAGTTGGGGGTCGCTGCGGCGTCCGCGGCTGGCCGGTCTGCGGCGCGCGCCCCCGCGGCGCAGGCTGTGCTCGCGCTCGCACAGGGGCGCGCCTCCGGGCGGGCGCCTCCCTCTCACTCCCTGGGCTGCGAGCGCCGGCGGTGGCTGCCGGAGGAGAGGCCCCTCCTTCTCGGCCCGCTCATTTCTCTCGCTCGCGGCCGAGCGGGCTCCCGACCCTTCGCTGGCCATGGCCGGCAACGTGAAGAAGAGCTCGGGAGCCGGCGGCAGCGGCTCGGGGGGCTCGGGAGCCGGCGGCCTCATCGGGCTCATGAAGGACGCCTTCCAGCCGCACCACCACCACCACCACCACCTCAGCCCGCACCCTCCCGGCACGGTGGACAAGAAGATGGTGGAGAAGTGCTGGAAGCTCATGGACAAGGTGAGCGGCCTGCGGGCCGGCGGGCGGGCGGGCGCGCGCCGCGCCGGGTGGGCGTGGGCGGTGGGGAGGGAGGGAGGGAGGGCTGCCGTTGGCAGTTGCGAACGTTGAGGTGTGGGGGAGCCAGACAAAGATGGGGTGGGGGCTGGGGGAGGGCTGGTCACCGCGCCACCCGGGCGGAAGTGCGATGGGGGTGCGGAGCTTGGGGATGTGGGTCGCCGAGTGGGCCCTGGGAGGTGGGCCTGAGGCATGAGTGTTGGATTTGAGAGCTTGGAAGAGGAGTCGTCCTGGGTCAGGGGACGGGACGGCAGGGCTGACTGCGGTCTGGGTGAGGTTATAGTTTTTTTCTCATTAAGATGTAACACGAAGATCAAAGAACGAGGTGGGTTTAAATGGGGCCAGGGAAGGAACTTCCCTTCACTGCTAAGGATGGCTTAAGTTTTTTTTTGTTGTTGTTGTCTTGCGAAGTGCTGGATGTAATCCATTGCTGGGGCTGAGATAGGCACTGGTTAAACCACAAGTTTTGGTTAGAGCCATTATCTTTCGAAAGGTGGACTGACTGAGCGTGCCAAATTGCAGTCAGACTTGTACAGAACTTCCTCTTGCACGCAGTGCTTTTAGCTGGGCTGTAGTGTTTGATTTTTGTAACGGGCCTATCTCCCCATTTTTTTCAGAACCTGACTTTGAGCTTGTTTCGTGAACCCCTTTGATAGCCATTTTAAAATCAGTTACAGGGTGGGGTTAACACTTTATGTTTAGCTCTTTAAGCCTGTCATTCGGGAGACTCTTACTTCCTTATAGTTGTGTCTGTATAATGTAGTCTTGCAGTTGGCTCAACTACTTAAAAGTGTACACGCAATCTCAACATTTTGTTCAAAGTCAACGAGCTGTTTCTTTGATTCTTATCATATTCATTAGTTTTTCAAAATCCCTATTGCAGATAAATGTGATTAGGAGGATCTGGCGTGTAAGCAAATGGTGTTATTTCCTCCAGGGTAAACTTTGTTTGCTTTGGTTCCTCTCTGGGCCCGGGTTCCTCTTCTGTAAAGTTCTCCATGGGTTGTTTTGGACTAGAAACAGCCAATAAAATTATTATGAAGCACTTGGCAAATGTAACTGCTATATAAATGCTTAACAAGTCCTGTGTGAGAATTAACACTCATGCAGTGCATACCAGTGGTTTCAGAGCCACTTTTCCAGGGCTGATTTTTCCCTACCTTAAGTAATTTGAGTTGTGGGAGCCTCCCTCTCCTGTCTCAACTGGCATTGTAATTAATGATATAAGTACTTGTGTGGTGATTATTTTGATATGGAACTAACTTTATTATTGGAAATTATAAAACCACTACAGGGATGTGCTGAAATTTTGTTTCTTTTTTTAACTTAGATTTTTATTTTGTGTATGGATATGTTGTGTGCATATATGGCTGTGCACCATGCATCCAGTGCCCTTGAGGCCATAACTCTCCTGGAACTAGAGTTATGGATGCTTGTGAGCCACCATATGGGTTTTGGAAATTGAACCTGGGTCTTCTGTATGAACAACTGCTCTTAGCCACTGCACCAACTCTCCAGCCCCAATATAACTGTGGCTGTCTGGAGATGCTGGGGAATTAATGAATCCTTGTTTGTTTCTTGGGTCAAGCTTTCACTGTATCTCATGCCAGTCTGGAACTCACAGCAATCCTTCTGCCTCAGCCTGTCAAGTGCTGCCTAGATCCATGTGTTGACAATTTAAAAAATATTGAATGTCTTTACAATCTGAAGTTTATAGGTTTATATTTTGGGAACTTAACTGTTGGGAACTCATGGTATAGAAAAATAGTTTTCATTTCTAGTTAGTTTCCCATATAGGAAGTGGGAGTGACTTCCTTAAAATGATGAAGTTTTTGAAATGGTGTTTCTGCCAGTGAAAGATAGATTATAGCTAGTAATATTCTCCATGGTGATCTATGCAAACCCTCCTTTATTTTATGATGTCTTCCGCTTTCATCACTTGAGAGTATTAGATTCTGAGTTTTTTCTAGATACATTTAATTACTTACAGTCTCTTACAGTTTTGAGTGAAACTACGTTTAAGTTTTGGTCATTTCAAGTACAGTCAGCTTCCAGCTTTTGCATTTCAGTTGAGGAAGGCAGGGTGTTTTGTTGTTTACTGATTGTCTCTGAAGATAGTTTTGGCATTGTGTCCCGTGACATGCTACTAATTGTGGCAAAGTGAAAGCTTGGTCCTTTCTGTGTTAGGCCTGCAGGTTTGTGCCACCTCTCAGACTTGCAGATTTTCTCAGTTTTTCCTGCATTAAGTTATTACTTAGTACTTATCTAATACTTGCTAGGTTGTACCATCTCCTTTGCCCTTGGAGTTTTGGGGTTTCTTTTTACTTCATTTTTTAAAGGTCTTTTTAAAAAATATACATTATTTGCTTTGTGTGTATATGTTTGGATGTTTTTATGCATGCCATAGCTCAAGTGTGGAGATCAGAGAAAGACGTGTGGGAGTTGGTTTGCTCCTTCCATCAAATGAGTCCCAGTGTATCTTTACCATCTTGCTGTTCCCCCTTTTGAAGTCTTTAAATGGGGTCATTATACCATTTTATTTTTATTTTATATGTATGAGTGTATTTTATATGTATGAGTGTATTTTTATTCCATGTATGCCTGGTCCTTGTGAGAGGGCCAGAAGAAGGAGTCTGATCACCTGGAAATGGAGTAACAGACTGTTGTGAACTTCCATGCAGGTTTGGGGAATTGAACCTTAGTCTTCTGCAAGGGCAGCAGTGCTCTTAACCATTGATCCAGGTCTCCAGCTCCTCACTGCATCTTTCAGATATGTGAAATTAAGTAGTGAGTCCTGAGTCATCATTTCATACCTGTTTTGCTCTTGTAAAAGTTAGATGTGTGTTAGTCCAGCCTGCTACTAGTGAGTTTACCAAGTTAGCCCTAGGTATTGCTGGTCTCTTTCCAGCTGATGTAAGTTGTGGCCTTTGCTTAACATAGGCTCAGTTTGCTCGGCCATGTGGGATTTAAGCTTGTTAGAAAAAAATGCTCGTGTTAGAACATTTAACCTTTAAAATAGACGTAACGTAACCAATTTTTTTGTCTTACCAGGATATTGTAATATTTACACAATTATTTCTCTGTAAAGAAACTTGCTAGTATGTTAAAGACTAGGCAGGGAAGAGATATGGAAAATCTCATAAGTGGCCTTAACGTGTACATTTTTTGGTGGTTGGGGAGTTGTTTGAGATAAGGTTTTTCAGTGTAGCCTTGGCTGTCCTGGAACTCACTCTGTAGACCAAGCTAGCCTCAAATTTAGAGATCTTCCTGCTTCTTCATCCCAAGTGCTAGGATTAAAGGTGTGAACCACCACCACCTGGCTTCATGTAAATTTTAAATCAGTAAGATATTTAATTTAGTGAGATGTAAAATGCCTTTATAAAGTACAGCAGGGGTTGGCAATTATTTCTGGTAAAGGGAAGGATAGTAAATGTTTTGGTCTTTCTGGTTACATGCTTAATCCCATTTAATGTTTTAAAACTATAAAAATTATTCTTAGCTTTCAGATTCTGGGGGATATATAGTCTTGCAGGCCATAATTTTCTTCCTTTGAAGTGGTAGAGTTGGTAGGATCACTATAGTCTAGGTTGTCTTAGAACCCATTATGTAGCTTAATCTGGCCTTGAACTAATAGCAATCCTCCTGGATTATAGGCAGTCATCACCACACAAGCTTTCAGTTTTTGAGTTTAAAAGAAGTATTTTCATGAACAGATTATTTTGGGCCAGTGAGATGGCTTAGCAGGTAAAGATACTTGCTGCCAAGTTAGTCTGATAACCTTAGTTTTGAGCCTCAGGACCCACGAAGTGGAAGGAGAGAACCAAGTTCTGCAAGTTGTCCTCTAAACATGGGACGTATACAGGCACACGTGTGCACACACTAAATAAATTAATGAAAGTTAAGAAAAATGTGATTATTTTCTTTTTTTAGGTTATCTTTCTTTGGTCATACCTGCTCCCCAAAAACATTGGGTAAATTAGTTTGTTTTGAAAGTAAAATGTCTTTAGTTGGATTTTAAGCTCATATGTTTCATTGAACTTCTGGCTCTTTCCTACTTTCCTCTTTCCTTAAAGTTTTCTTTCTTAACATTTGATTTGTATACTGTGTTCCAGGCACATGCTAGGTGTTAAGTTCATACACTCTAGGAGATATGTGATTTGTAATGATAAGTGACTACTGAAGTATGTCCAAAGTATTCTGGGATCTTTTAGGTTTAAACACAAGACATACTTGTTCTGGGTTTATCTTAACCTCTCCTGCTTGTCGTTCCCCCCCCCCCCGCACCCCCCCAACACACACACACACACACACACACACACTCTCTCTCTCTCTCTCTCTCTCTCTCTCTCTCTCTCTCTCTCTCTCTTTTTCTCTTAGATGGGCTCTCACTGTGACCTGGAACTCATATAGATCTGCCTGTCTCTGTTTACCAAGTACTGGAATTAAAGAAGTACCACCACACCTAGCCTTTTCTTGTTGTTTCTTCTCTTGAACCCCACCATGGACTTTTTTGTTTGTATACTGGATTGGCCTCCAACTTTCTGTGATTCTCCAAGGTCAGCCTCTTGACTGTTGGTGTATAGCCATAGGGCACCATTCCAGACAACCTCTAAAGTTTGTAAACTCCATAAGGAAAGCAGCTGTAAGCTATGTAAGCTACTTGTCTGTTATACTGTCCATTCAGGAATCCTATACAATAGTAGGTAGTATATAGGTGTTTTGCTAAATTAAATTGCTTATGTGCCCCAAAGAAATTAGCTGGAAGGAAAAGGTGTGTGGGTGGAAATTAATTAGCTAACTTACTGTTTCTGATTTGTTGTGGAAGAATTTAATTTAGCCACAAATTTATTTCTTGCTGTAGCTATTTATTGGTATCATCCTTGTTTTATAGGTGAAAGTAGTTAGGATCAGAGGTTAAGTAATTTTCTGACTTGGAATCCAGGATT